GCTCTGTGAGAAGATGCATGAATGCTTAGGATTTACTGCCATCTTGATGACCTTTTTTATTGAGAAATTATTCTTTCTGTTTTGGGTCCCCCCCCCCCCCCAGGGGTTCATGCATGCTAGGCAAGTGCTCTACCACTAACCTATGTCCTCAACCCTGTGAAATCATCCCCCTTACTCTTTGCTCTGGAACTGGCTCTGTCTGGTATTGATATAAACACTCTGGCTTTTTTTTTGGATTGGTGTTAGCATGGTGTGTCCTTTCTCCATCCTTTTAATCCATTTGTGTTTTGATATTGAAAGTACATTTTTCTTTTTCTTTTTTTAATAGTTTATTTATTATGTATACAGTGTTCTGCCTGCATGTATGCCTACCCACCAGAAGAGAGCACCAGATCTCATTACAGATGGTTGTGAGCCACCACCTGGTTGCTGGGAATTGAACTCAGGACCTCTGGAAGAGCAGCCAGTGCTCTTAACCACTGAGCCATCTCTCCAGCCCACTACATTTCTTTTCTAAAAAGTGTACATGTGTGTATCTGTGTGTGTGTGTGTGTGTGTGTGTGTGTGTGTGTGTGAGAGAGAGAGAGAGAGAGAGAGAGAGAGAGAGAGAGAGAGAGAGAGAGAGAGAGAGAGAAATTGGGGGGAAAGGGTGTGTACATGCCACAGGGTTTGTGTGGAGACCAGAGGACACCTGTGGAGTTGATTCTCTTCTTTCACCTTCACAGTAGTTCCAGGGTTCAAGCTCAGGTGGCCAGGTTAGCATGACAAGTGCCTCTCTGCCTGCAGAGCCTTCTCAGTGTCCTGAAAGTGGAGTTCTGATGAGGAGCTGCAGTGAGTCTGCCCACGTCATCCCAACTGTGTCCTTCTCTCAGTTGCCCAGAAGACTTCTCGCTTTATCGTTGGTTTCATTTTATTTGATTGTAATGTGCTTTGTAGGGTCTTTCTTGTGTCCGTTGTGTTTGTAGTGTTAAACTTTTTGGATTTGTAGATTATAGACTTCATCCATTGTGGGGAAATTTTCTGCTGTTCTTTCTTCAAATATTTTTAGTCCTCGTCCTCATTCCTTTTGGAAACTCCAGAGATATATAGGAGCTCTCGAAACTGTGCTCGGCTACCTGATCTCGGTGATACCTTGTGTGCCCTTGGCACTCCCACTACAGTTCCCATCCCCCACACTGTGGTCTGTGTCTAGATGCCTGGGGGCTTCATGTCCCACATCCGTGTCTCCAGCCCTGTTGATGTGCTTGGACACTAATTCTGGCCACTCTCAGTTTGACTTAGTTTTAGTTGACTGATTTCTTTTTCTTTTTATATAAAATATTCTTTTTTAAAGATTTATTTTTTTATTTTATGTATGTGAGTGCTCTATTTGCACGTACAACTTTATGCCAGAAGAGGGCATCAGATCCCACTGTAGATGGCTGTGAGCCACCATGTGGTTGCTGGGAATTGAACTCAGGACCTCTCCTCTGGAAGAGCAGCCGGTGCCCTTAGCTACTGAACCATCTCTCCAGCCCCGACTGATTTCTTTAGTAGGCCATATCATTTTGCTTTTTTTGTAGACGTGGCAGTTTCTGGTTGGATGCTAGACATTGTGAATTTTACCTTAATTCTTGGTCTTTTTTAGTTTCTATAAACATTTCCTCAGAGCAGTTATTTGAAAACCAATTTGATCCTTTTAGGGAGATGTGGTCTCATTCTCTCTTCTTTTTCCCTCACTCACAACCCTCCTTCCCTTTTTCTTCCTTTCTTTCTTGTTCTTGGTTTGGAGTCAGGGTCACATGTAGCCTAGGTTGGCCTCAAACTTGCAATATAGCCCAAGTTGGGCTCAGACTCACTATGTAGCCCAGAATGATCTTGAATCCTCTTGTTCCTGCCTCCCAACTTCTGGCATCATGGATATGTGCCACCATGCCTGGCTTCAGATTCTTCAAGATTGGCTAGTAAAGAGCAGAACAGTGCTCCCTCCTTCCCCACTATTGAGGTAAGATTCTTTTGTGCATTGTACTAAACATCCTGTGACTTGTGGGGTTTTCCAGTCTGTCTGTTCTTAACTAGTGTGAACACTGACCATTCTTCTTTCCAATCTTTCCACTTACTTCTCTCTCTCCCCCACCCCATCCCTGCCATCATTAGGTAGCTTCCTTCCTCTTACTTGTGTTCTGGTGGGTACTCAGCTGGATACTTGAGGACCCTCTGCCAATGTCCAGAACTCTCTCTGCCTCTCTCTCCCAGGACACTGCCTCTTCCAAACTTCGGTCACTTTAGTCTCATTTTGGAGTTCTCACAGGAAGTCTGCTGACCTCTATTTGTGGCCTTCTCTTGTTCTGGGACTTGGATTTGTTGGTCTTTCCTAAGCTCTGTATTTGACCTTATTCAACAAGCATTTGCCTGTTTATGCTGTAGGCTGAAAGGTAGCATAAGCCTCTCACTGTAAGCCCACCAAGGCCTGGCCAGTTCCTGGCTTTCAACATAAAGAAGTTTCCTCAGGGCTTCAGTTAAGGGCAGGAACATGGAGACTAGGATTTCATTTGTTTTTTGAGACAGGGTCTTTCCATGTAGCTCTGGCTATCCAAGAATTCACTCTATAGACTAGTCTGACCTTGAACTCACAGAGATCCATCTGCCTCTGCCTCCTGAGTGCTGGGCTAAAGGTATATGCCGTCACACCCGGATTAGATTTTTTTTTAACTAATTGTTTTGGAAACTATTGCTTCCATTTTTTTCTACTTCTGGTTCTAGCCAGGATAATTGGTTAATTTAGTCCTTGATACTCCATCTAGGTTGGAATCAAAAGTGTTACTGCTTTAATTATAAGTTAACAGAATTATGTATTTTTAAAATAAGTACAATGAAGAATGGTGTTTGACTTTCAAGAATTTGTACCTATTTTCTGTTGTCTTTTTTTTTTTTTTTTTTTTTTTTTTTTTTGGTTTTTCGAGACAGGGTTTCTCTGTGTAGCTTTGCGCCTTTCCTGGAACTCGCTTTGGAGACCAGGCTGGCCTCGAACTCACAGAGATCCGCCTGGCTCTGCCTCCCGAGTGCTGGGATTAAAGGCGTGCGCCACCACCGCCCGGCTCTGTTGTCTTTTTTTTAAAGATTTGTTTATTTATTATGAATACAGTGTTCTGTCTGCATGTATCCCTACCCACCAGAAGAGGGCACCAGATCTCATTGTAGATGGTTGTGAGCCACCTTGTGGTTGCCAGAAACTGAACTCAGGACTTCTGGAAGAACCAGTGCTCTTGACCACTGAGCCATCTCTCCAACCCTATTTTCTGTTGTCTTGTGCCAACTCTGAAAATTGTAATAACAGTAGAACAAGTTGGAAAACATAATACTTAGGAATTATATAACACTTAGTGCAGTTCATTCTCCATTGCTGAAATGTAATTTAGGTATAATGTTTTGGATTCTCAGAGTCAGGTATTAATCTTTAACTGTTTTAAAATAGTATTAGGTAGGTTCAGTGATGCATGCCTATACCAGCTGCTTGGAAGGCCAATATAGGAGGATCACCTAAACCAGGAGTTCAAGATTAGCCGGGAAACATGAGACCATATGTCAAGAAATAATAATAGACTATTTTTAGAGCAGTTTTAGGTTCACAGCAAAATCCACAGCAAAGAATTGACAGCTCTGATGGAACTGTGGTGTTGTGCGCACAGAGCCTCCTCAGTGGGCCTGTCCCCACCAGAGCCAAATAAATGCATTGTAGCCAGTCATCATCACCCAGAACCCCTCGTTCACATTCAGGTTCACTCGCTGTTGTCCTGGCCTTCAGCTCTTAACTGATGTCTCCATAGCTTTCTCGATTGCTCCAGTTATTGGCACCTGGAGCCACAGTGATCTGGAAGTTGCAGCTCCAAAAGAGGCACTCTGGCTTTACTTTGCCTTAGGTCATGGTTTCCATGAGCTTGTGTGATTAGGGACCTGCCGGTTTCTCTGGCTCTCTGTCAATCCATCTTCCTTTTCCATCCATCTCTGTTTCTTCCATCCTGGTGGCTTCAGTTCCCAGAAGTCTCTGTTCTTCTCCTTGCCTCCCTTCTGGATCTTTGTTGTACATTTTGAGTCTCAGTGTAAGCTCACCTCTCCTAGAAAGTGTTCCTGACCTCTGTCATCTTCCTCCCCCAGCCACCCCCTGCCTGGTTTATGTCCCTATTTTGTCTAGATTTGTTTCTTACCATAAGACCAGAGTTTGTAAATGACTTCATTTGATTCTTAGTGTGTGTGGAGTAGGTCATCTCACTCTGTTTACCACTGAGCAGACTTCTCTGGGAAGTTAATCTATCTAATGTCAAGTACCAGATGTGCTGGACTCAAACAGATGTTTCTGCTCTGCAGCTTGTGCTTTACAACCTCTTATTTAATGACCTCCTCCAACTTAATTTCTTAGAATTAAGTATAATGTAAATTTTCTTCTCTTTTTTTGAGACAAGGTTTCACTGTGTAACCTCTGCCTTTCTGGACCTCGGTATATAGACCAGTCTGGCCTTAAGATCCCAGAGATCCATTTGCCTCTCCCTCCTTGGGATTAAAGGTGTGGGCTACCACAACCAGCCAGCATAAGAATTTCGCATTTAGTTGATGCTAAAAGTTGAATGTGTACTAGAATATGTTTTTGTTTTTGAGACAGGGTTTCTCTGCATAACTCTGGCTTTCCTGGAACTCACAGAGATCCACCTGCTGCTGCCTCCAAGTGCTGAGATTAAAGGCGTGCACCACCACCATCTGACTTTTCTTTTTTCTTTCTTTCTTTTTTTTTTTTTTTTTGGGGGACAGTCTCACTGTATAGCCCAGGCTGCCCTCAACCTTGCAATAGTCCTCTCACCTCTTCCTCTCCAGTGCTGAGATGATAGATGTATGCCATTGTGCCCAGCTTTAGAATGAAGTTTTAGTTTAGGGAATATGTTACATAACAGTGTCGTGGCTTAATTTTTGAGATTCATTGTCCTGGATCATCAGACTCTGAAGTAACAGACTTTCTGCATCGTTCTCAGGGACCATTTTTGCATATGGACAGACTGGCACAGGCAAGACTTTCACCATGGAAGGTGTCCGCGCTGTACCGGGGCTCAGAGGGGTCATCCCCAACTCATTTGCTCACATATTTGGTCACATCGCAAAAGCAGAGGGTGACACAAGGTGAGAGAGTGCCTCTATTTCCTAACACCGAGAGGGTCAGACCTGGGAAAGACCTCGAGGCACCACATTTATAAACACATGTAAGACATGGAGTATTCCTTTGTACTTGCAGGTTTTTGGTTCGAGTGTCATACTTGGAGATATATAATGAAGAAGTCCGAGACCTTTTGGGAAAGGATCAGACACAGCGGTTGGAGGTAAGGATGGAATTGGAGTTAAGATAAAAATTGGAGGGCGCGGTGTGTGGCGCACACCTTTAATCCTGGCACTCAGGAGGCAGAGGCAGGCAGATCTCTGTGAGTTCAAGGCCTGGTCTACAAAGTGAGTTCCAAAACAACCACAGAGACAATACACAGAAAAGCCCTGTCTTGAAAAAAACAAAACAAAACAAAACAAAAATTGGAATAAACTGTTATACTCATAGATCGGTGCCTCATAGATGGGTACCTAGCCCAATTGTCATCAGAGAGGCTTCCTCCAGCAGCTGATGGGAGCAGATGCAGAGACCAACACCCAAACATTAGCCAGAGCTTGGGGAACCCTGCAGAAGAGGGGGAGGAAGGATTGTAGAAGCCAGAGGGGTCAAGGACACCAGAACAAAGCCCACAGAATCAACTAAGAAGGGCCCATAGGGGCTCACAGAGACCAAAGAAACAATCACAGAGTCTGCATGGGTTTGTGGCTAGGTCCTCTGCACAAATGCTCTGCTTGTTTAGCATGGGGTGTTTGTGGGACTCCTAAAGTGGGAGTGAGGGTGTCTCTGACTCTTTTATCTGCTCCTAGGACCCTTTTCCTCCTACTGGGTTGCCTCATCCAGCCTGGATAAGAGGGTTTGTGCCTTGTCTTACTGCCTCTCTGCCTTAGTTAGGTTTCTGTTGCTGTGAAGAGATACCATGACCACAGCAACTCTATTAAAGAAAACATTTAATTGGGGTGGCTCACTTACAGTTGCCAGAGGTTCAGTCCATTATCATCATGTTGGGAGCATGGTGGCATGCAGGCAGATGTGGTGCTGGCTACATCTTGGCTTGCAGGCAACAGGAAGTTGACTGACAGTCATTCTGAGGGAAGCTTGAGCAAAAGAGACGTCAAAGCCCAACCCCACCGTGACACACTTCCTCCAACAGGCCACACCTCCTAATAGTGCCACTCCCTTTGTGAGCCATTTTCTTTCAGACCACCACACTTTTTTTTTTTTTTAAGATTTATTTATTTATTATATATACAGCATGTATGACTGCAGGCCAGAAGAGGGCACCAGATCTCATTACAGATGGTTGTGAGCCACCATGTGGTTGCTGGGAATTGAACTCAGGACCTCTAGCAGAGCAGTCAATGCTCTCAACCTCTGAGCCATCTCTCCAGCCCCCCAGACCACCACACTTTATGCTGTGTTCAGTTTATATCACTGGAAGGCCTGCTCTTTTCTGAAGGGAAAGGGAGCAGCAGTGGGTCTAGGGGGAGAGCGAAGAATTCAGGGTCAGGAGAGATGGGAAATGGGGACTGAGAGGAATGGAGGGAAGAGAGGCTGTGGTTGGGATGTATTGTACGAGAAAAGAATAAATAAAAAAGAAAAAATGTGAAAAAAATTTGAATAGAGTGCTTGCCAAATTAAGGTCTTTTTTGTACAAAAGGTACTTTTAAAAACTACCTATATATGTCACTTACAAGTGCAAACCATTTGAGCATAAGTCACTGAAGCATAGCTGCTGAATCAAGTTTGGGAGATATTGCCATCTTAAAAATATTTTAAGATACAAGACAAATGGGCCGGAGAGGTGGCTCAGGTTAGGAGCACTGGCTGTTCTTCCTGAGGTCCTGAGTTCAATTCCTAGCACCCACATGGTGGCTCACAACCATCTGTAATGAGATCTGGCACCTCTTCTGGCCTGCAGGGATACATGCAGGCATAACACTGTATATGTAATAAATAAATTAATTAAAAAAAGATACAAGACAAACAAGAAAAGATGAGCCTTTTAAATCCTAGTATAGGAATTTTTTTATTTTTGTAAGTGCCCAGTTTGATTTTTCTATTTGAAGATCTTTGCCAGTGTTCTCCTACCCCAAATCAGTCTGCCTTCCTACCCCAAATCAGTCTGCCTTCTATTCTTGCACATTTTAGGTTAAATATCACATTGCAGAAGCTTACCCTGTTCCTTTTACTAGCTTGGTGTCTTTGATACATTCCCAGGGCTGGCAAGATGGTTCAGCAGGTAAAGGGGCTTGCCACCAAGCCTGAGGACCTGAGTTTAATCTCTGGGATTCACGTGGTGGAAGGAGAGAACCGGCTCCCACATAATGTCTTCTGACCTCATGTGTGCCCTGGCATGCGTAAAACACACATGCGTGCATGCACGCACGTGGAGTTTTAAGTGAACTGTACTCTCATGCTGTTTTGTATTTTATTCATGGCATCATCACAAATAATTGTGTGCAGTATTTATTTGTACTGAAGCTTTATGACCTTTGTGAATATGGGCATTGCTCATAACCACTCTCAGCTGTCTTCCCGTGTATAACAGTAGATACTCAGTAAGGAACTGGAAAACTTAGCATTATAAAGTCTTAGGCATGATTTTTGTTTGCTTTTTAGGTTAAAGAAAGGCCTGATGTGGGAGTATATATCAAAGATTTATCAGCTTATGTGGTCAATAATGCTGATGATATGGATAGAATCATGACGCTAGGCCACAAAAATCGTAAGTGTGGTACATAATTGTGATGAAATGCCTATATTTGAATGCTGGTTGAGAAGCAAATAAATATGGCTTTTGCCCCATAGAGGTTGAATTTTTTTTAAAGTCCACTCATTTTATATACTATCTAGGGAACATATATGGGTGAACAATAACATAGGTTGTTTTTCATGCTGACTGAAGTTTTCTTTAGTACCAAGAAAACTTCTTTATTTATTTATTCAGAGACAGGGTCTTATTATCCTTTATTTTTTATTTTATGTATATGAGTGTTTTGCCTGCATGCATGGAAGTGAACCACATGTATGCAGTGCCAACAAAGGCCAGAAGAGGGTATAAGATTTCCTGGCACAGGAGTTACAGATAATTGTAATCAGTTATGCGAGTGCTAGGAACCCAGCCCAGGGCCCCTGAAGAACAGTAGACACTCTTAACTGCAGAGCCGTCTCTCCAGCTTCTTTTTTTGTTTGTTTGTTTTGTTTTCCTGATAGAGGATCTCTCTACATAGCCCTGGCTGTCCTGGAACTCACTATACATACCAGACTGCCTTGTACTCACAGAGATCTGCCTGTTTCTACCTCGCACGGGCTGGTCTTTAAAGCATGTGCCACTAAGCCCAGCTCTCCAGCCTCATGATTGTGCCAGTCTTTGAAGCAGTCATAATGTTATAGCTTGCTAGTTAAAATATTGATAACATTTTGATTGAGCACTTACTGAGTGGGAAGTCCTTGTGCTGTGTGCTTTATGGAGATGATCGATTAGTCTTCACTGTAGTGTATGGGGATATGAAATTCCTACTTTATGAATGAGGCGACTGAGATGTAGTTTGAATACCATGTCTAAAGTAATACAATTACTAAGTGGTAGGGTGTTTGAACCTAGGTTATTAATCTGAGTTAGCCAGAATATATACTGCTTCCCTTCTGTTGAAAATTAAAGCAAAATTAAACTAACATTTTTCTCCTTCTAGTAATTGTTACAGATTTTTCATCTAAAGAATAAAAATCTGGACTGGAGAGATGGCTCAGAGGTTAAGAGCATTGACTGTTCTTCAAGAGGTCCTGAGTTTAATTCCCAGCAACTACATGGTGGCTCACAACCATCTATAATGAGATCTGGTGCCCTCTTCTAGAATGAAGGCAAACATGCAGACAGAACACTGTGTACATAATAAATAAAATTTAAAAAAATTGTTCAAACAAACAAAAAAAAAGAATAAAAGTCTTGCCAGGTATGATGGCATATATCTGTAATCCCAGCATTCAGGAGGCAGAGGCAGATGGACCTCAGAGTTTGAGGTTAGCTTTGTCTACATGGGAGTTTTAGGCCAAACAGAACTATCTTGCCCAGGCTGGCCTCAAACTTGTGGTTCTCATGCCTCAGCCTCCTAAGTACTAAGATTACAAGAATGAACCTCTACACTGACTGCTTAGCATGTGTTAAAATTTTTATTTGTTCTTGTTTTTAGCAAAATCTCACATGTAGTAGTAGTTGACTGGAACTTGATGTATAGATGAAGTGGGCTCACAGAGTTCCACCTGCTTCTGCCTCCTGAGCTCTGAGATTAAAGGCATGTACCACCCATGCCCAGCTCATCATGTTTTAACAAAGATGGTTCCTGTAGGATTGGCATCTTTTGATGTAACTGGATATGGACCCACCCATGTTTTTAATGGCCATTTAGTGACTTAAGCTATTCCATAGTAGATTAATCAGTGTTGTGTTGGATCTTTCTGGTCCTCACTGTTTCAGTGTTACAGTGATTCCTCCTGCAACATCTCATGTGTGTGTGCAGATCATTCTGTGGTGTAGAGTCCCAAACATAATTCTCTCTAGAGAGTTGTCAGCAGTTTTTTCCTAGTTATTTAACACGCGTTTCTTTTTGTGGTGTAGTTTTTTTTTTTTTTTTGAAGAGAGAAGATGATGCTGTGTTGCCAAGGCTGGCCTAGGTCACCTGGATTGATGTGTTCTCCTGTCTTGGCCTCCTAAGTACACACCACCATGTCCAGCTTCATAGATCGTTATAATCTTTAGATAGTAATATTTGGGAATGAAGTAAAGAATGTTATTCTATGATTTTTTTTTTTCCTGAAGCTGAGGACCGAACCCAGGGCCTTGGCTTGCTAGGCAAACACTCTACCACTGAGCTAAATCTCCAACCTGTGATTATGTTTTAATATTTAGGAATGAAGTGAAGATGTTATTCTATGATTATGTTTTAATGTGAGTACATTATAAATTCTTTGGTTATAGTGTGAATTATAAAAGAAGTATACAGTGTCCCAACACACCTGTAGTCATAGTCAGTGGCTGTGATGAAATCAAGTATTTTAAATGTTTTGGTTATTTAATTAGTAAAGGTACTCTCTGGGCTGAGGATAGCTCAGTTGGTAGAGTGCTTATCTAGTATGCATAAAGCCCTGGGTCAATCCCCACCACTCCATAAACTGGGTCTGGTGGTATTCAAGAGGTAGGAAATCAAAGTTCAAGGATAGCCTGGGCTACAGGACACCCTGTCAAAACAAAAAAAAGTAAACATAAAGGCATTCTGTCACAGTTTTTAAGGGTTTCTTTTCTTTGTTAAAGGTTCTGTTGGTGCAACTAACATGAATGAGCATAGTTCGAGATCCCATGCCATCTTTACAATTACTATAGAATGTAGTGAGAAAGGTGTTGATGGAAACATGCATGTCAGGATGGGAAAGCTCCACCTGGTGGATCTTGCTGTAAGTAACGGGAGAGTCTGTCCCTGTGGTCCACTTACCTGTCAATAAAAATTAAAGCCGAAAGGAATGGTGTACTTGTGATTTTAAATTGCTTCTTATTGTGGGATATCTGAAAGTAGATAGAGTAGCATTATGACTCTCTTGTTTCACCTCCTGCCGAGGCTTCTTTGTGTATTCTTACTTCTTCCCTCATGATTTTGAAGTGAATTCCAGATGTTACATGAAATATTTTAAATTACTTCAAAAAAACCCCCAGATTTTAGAAAAGTGCATTCTTGATTTTAAAAAGCTTTGAGTTTTTATCTGTTTCTTGCTAGGGGTCAGAAAGACAAGCGAAAACTGGAGCCACAGGACAGCGCCTCAAGGAAGCTACAAAAATCAACCTTTCCCTCTCTACCCTGGGCAATGTCATTTCTGCCTTGGTGGATGGAAAAAGCACACATGTGCCGTATCGGAACTCTAAACTGACGCGTCTGCTGCAGGATTCCTTAGGAGGGAACTCAAAAACCATGATGGTAAGACCTCAGTCATGGCATGGTTAATTCATACAAGGCCAATTTAAGATTCGGATTCATTCCCATCATTGAAGTGAATAACATTTTTTTTTTTTTTCCGAGACAGGGTTTCTCTGTGTAGCTTTGCACCTTTCCTGGGACTCACTTGGTAGCCCAGGCTGGCCTCGAACTCACAGAGATCCGCCTGGCTCTGCCTCCCAAGTGCTGGGATTAAAGGCGTGCGCCACCACCGCCTGGCGTGAATAACATTTTATAAATCGATGGCTTTCTTTGTATAATACAACTCTTGATTCCCATTGTTGCATTGTTTCCAAAGCTGTATGATCAGTGCTGGTTTTTTAGAAGAGAACTGCACACGTGGTTCGGGCATTTGTTTGGTAATGGTGGTGTTAGTGGCGGTGTGGAATGATGGACGTTTCTAATTCAACAGTGTGCAAATATTGGGCCAGCAGATTATAATTACGATGAGACCATCAGCACCTTGCGCTATGCCAACCGTGCCAAGAACATTAAAAACAAAGCAAGAATTAACGAAGACCCAAAGGATGCTCTGCTTCGTCAGTTTCAGAAAGAAATAGAAGAGCTGAAGAAAAAGCTTGAGGAAGGTAACTTCGCACAAAGATTCCTGTCAGCTGAGGCATGCTGGGGACCACTGCATTTGCCTTTAAAATGGCCTGCCAAGCAATAGCATCTAACATTGATGTTTAAAGTTTCTGTGTATGCTTCTGTGTGTGTTGGGCATGTGTGAGTGCAAGCACACACATGCCACGGTGTATGTGTGAAGGTCAGAAGACACCTATGGGAGCTGTTTCTCTCCTTGAATTCATGTCAGGCTTAGAGGGCAAATATTTTACTTGCTGAGCCCTTTATTAGACCCTAGCATTGATATTTAAAAAAATATTTCTGAGGAATATGTGTCTTCTAAGAAAATATTTTCTAAGGCCATCTCGAAGGTTACAAAGTTTGAAGTTCCAACCTGTGGTGGTGGCGCACGCCTTTAATCCCAGCACTTAGGAGGCAGAGGCAGGAGGATCTTTGAGTTCTCGGCCAGCCTGGTCTACAGAGTGAGATCCAGGACAGCCAAGGCTACACAGAGGAATCCTGTCTCGGTAAAACAAAAATAAAAAAAAATAAAAAAAAAGAAAGAAAGTTTGAAGTCCTGACTGATGGTCCTGAGGAGCTTCCTGGTCAGTTCTGGGACTCCCATGCCATCTACAAGGGGATGAACCCTCTCTGACTGGCATAGAGCTCCCTGTGCAGCAGGTGAAGGGCCTGGAGTCTAAGCCATTGGAGTCTCTGGGGAAAACCCAGAGGTGCCAACCTGCCACTGGTGGGTCTGGGGAAATGTCAGGTTCTGAGAAAAAGCAGGAGAGAAGCACTTCACAGATAATAAAGTTGGCGTTTTTGAATGGCCACTAGGTGGCATTTGTAGCCAGTTTGCTTTTAAGATCTTTGATTTCCCTGTTAGTGTTGAGCTCAGCCTTCATTTTGATGATTTCATTCCCCGCTCCCTCCCTTCCCCTCCCCTCCTTTCCCCCCCCTCCTTTCCCCTCCCCTCCCTTCCCCTCCCCTCCCTTCCCCTCCCCTCCTTTCCCCTCCCCTCTCTTCCCCTCCCCTCCCCTCCCCTCATGTATCCCTGTCTGTCCTGAAACTCACTATGTAGACCAGACTGGCCTCAAACTCACAGAGATCTGCCTGGCTCTGCCTCCTGAGTGCTGGGATTAAAGGTGTGCACCACCACAGCCAGGCTCTGCTACACCTCTTGGTTCTTATGAATGGTGTGGCTGTGCACATTGGATACACATGTTCAAGTCCTTGTGCATATTGTGCTGGGCGTGTGTCCAGAGGGAGAGTTGTATATTCATATTCTTTGTGGTGTGTTTCACTTTATTTGCGTCCTTCTGACCCTATGCTCTATAGGCAAAGGCATTAAAGGACTTTTTTGTTTGTTTGTTTTTGTTTTTGTTTTTCAAGACAGGGTTTCTCTGTGTAAGATCTGGCTGTCCAAGAACTTACTTTGTAGACCAGGCTGACCTCAAACTCACAGAGCTCCGCCTGCCTCTGCTTTCTGAGTTAGATCCTGTCTCAAAAATTATTTTTTCTTAAAAAGTAAGATAAAATTTCTGTGTACATTGTGTGTGTGTTTGCATGTGAATATGTGTGTGTGCACATGCTTAGAGACTAGGACAGAGGGGGTGTTGTTCCTCCGATACTGTCCACTTTTTTAGTGGGCTGGGGAAGACAGACTCTCTCACTGACCTGGAACTCCCCAAGTAGGCTGGACTGGCTTGTCAGCAAACCCCAGGGGTCTCCAGTCTCCACCTGCTTGTCAGATATGCCGTCTGTGAACATTTCAGTAGATTTTCAGTTTGTGTTTGAGCAACAAAAACTTAATGAAGAGAATGGATATAGGCATTTTATAAATAGCCGATGACTTGGTACAGCCTAAAAATCATTGTTAAATTTCTGTCCAAGGGGAAGAAGTCTCAGGCTCTGACGTCAGTGGTTCAGAGGAGGATGACAACGAGGAGGGTGAGCTTGGAGAAGATGGAGAAAAAAGGAAGAAGAGAAGGGGTAAGTCCTGATCATGTTCTAACCGGTCACAGCTGGCTAGAATTGTTCCCTGATGATGCCCATTTTATAGTTGGTATTTTTACTTATGGTAGTGGTTCCAGCAGGGAACTTCTGCTATATGTGGTTAACTTTGTAAACATTCTCTCTTGTTTTTTGTCTTGCTGACCCAGGATGCCATATTGCCTCTTGTAAAAAAATTTTTTTTCTATTGTAAAATTCTACAGTTTCACATCTGTGTTAGGTCCCTATTGGCTTTTGAAATTAGGATAATGTGGGCTTTCTCGTCAAATGATGTTAGCCTTTAAGAATCATTTGCGGGTGGTATGTTTGAGTAGTTTTTCTCTGAAGTCCTTTCTTTGTAAACTTGTGTCATTCTCTCCCTTTGGGACAGCTTCCAGTGGGAACTAAGACTGCTCAGCTAAGGCTGCAGATGGCATGTCCCTGCCTCATTTCTAACTCAGAGCTCTCCTCAGCTCCTGCAGGCTGCTCCACAGTCTCAGTTAATCAGTCCTGTTGAAAACAAGCCCATCACTGCTCGATGGGGGACCCAAATTAAAAACTGAAGATTTTGTACATCCAAAAGACAGAAAAAGCACCATGTAGGGCAGAAGTTGGCAGCGTACAGTATGCTGGCCAAATCCATGTGGGACCTGTTTTTGTAAACAGAGTGTTCTTAAAGCAGCCTTGATCAACTGTTTACATGTGGTCTGTAGCTGTTCACATCAAAGCACATGGTCTGGCCGTTGGTCCTTTCACAAAGACTGTTATCAGTCCCTGACATAAAAAATGTTTTTATTCATAGCTCATTTTTCAAAGTAAACTATTGTTTCTTTGACTTGAAGCAGATAGTAAACTTACTAAAAATAAATTTTATGTAGAAAAAAATGCTGCTGTTTAATATGCTAAAATATTTTAAATATGTCTTACCTTGTTCGGAGAAGCTTAACATTTTTCACTGAGCCTTGTCAATTATGCTGTCCAGCTTTAGACATAAAAGTAAAGTCTGGGGCTGGAGAGATGGCTCAGAGGTTAAGAGCACTGACTGCTCTTCCAAAGGTCCTGAGTTCAATTCCCAGCAACCACATGGTGGCTCACAACCATCTGTAATGAGATCTGGTGCCCTCTTCTGGCCTGCAGTCAGACATGCTGTATACATAATAAATAAATAAATCTTTAAAAAAAAAAAAAAAAAGTAAAGTCTGGTATCATGATGCCTTGAGGGGATGGGGAATTGGAGACAATACCTTGTTTATAATGAAGGGCAGCTGATTTCTGCAACATGAGTTGTGTGATTTGTATGTTTTCAAGCTGTTTCTTTTTCTTAGCAGTATAAATAGACATTTTTGTCATTTCAAGCCTCTGAATAATTCTGTGTAGATGAGTAGTGGGGTTTGCCACTACTGCAGATCTGTAAAGAAATGCAGTTTTAATTCCCTGCATGGCTTTGTGACCAGGAAGCAGCTGGAGTACTTAGTTTTAAGCTAGAGTGAGTTGCTCTTGAATGCAAAGCTTGATTGTCCTCTAAATTCTTCCTGCAGAACTCAAGTTTTCTCTGTGTGTTTCTGTTCGTTTCTTGTTCCCTCTCTCTGGTTCCGTGGGCTCGTTTCTTTGTCTTGCAGGCAGTAGCAGCAGCAGTAGCTCAGACTCCACATGTTCTGTCATAGAGAAGCCTCTGGATGAGTTCTTGCCTCGTGAGTGGCGGCCCTCACCTTCTCTAACAGAGCTCTGGCTTCTCCATTACTCATGGGCTTCATTTGGGAGATGCTGCCCCACTCCCTGTCGTGACTGGTCCATGTTGGGCTCCCAGTAGAAAAGCATGTGGCCCCACCCTGCCATGGCTTCAGTTAACTGAAACATAGGCCAGAGCCTATGTTTGAGACAGTGGAAGAGAGAATCATGCTTTTGCTGCTGAGATAATGTAAAGAGAGCTAGTAAGCTGTGTAAAAGAATAATTCTCGGGATTCTTTTTTATGCCTCATTATACGTTTTTAATTCTGGTCAGTGTAAGAGATTTGAACAACACATCTTAAATCTCTGCAAGTACAAATGAACGTTTGTTGGTGCAGCAGCACCCAATGGAACAAGCCGTCTGTGCTCCAAATACAGAAATGAGTGAAGCCCGAGGCAAGTGAGGAAGACAGAGTAGTGTTTCCTTCCAACTGGGCGCTCCCCCACTGCTAAGTTACCAGGTCAATTTTAACTCTTTCTGAAGTGTGATTAGAAAATTCAGTCACACAGCGTTTATAACGTCTGTCTAGACTTCTTCAGACTTAGATTTTTTGGTAAACTGTAAGTTGAAAGCATTATTTAATTTTGTCTATTTCTACTTTCAGAAGAAAATGGAAGCGAAGCTTGCTTCCACCAGCTTGCAGCTTGCTGTCTCTTAAAGCATTATCTGTGTCCTTACCTTTTCCAGACTAATGGCAGAAACCATTGCTTTTAGCTTTACTAGGGAAACTCTCAAGAATCTCAAGACACTGTGTCTGTTGACACTGCTGAAGCAAGTTACCAGACAGCTGACCTCACTGGATAAGTTATAAACTACGTGGCATTGTGCAGACACCACTTAGAAGCACAACTTTGTATTATAAACTGTGAAGTGAGAGGAAGCATTGTAACTTAATTTTCTGTTCTAAAACTTACCATTCTTAGAGAGTAGTTATATGAAAGTAGGTTATGAAATGAGTTGTACCTTATTCAATTCAAGACTTTTTTTTTCCAATTCAAGAGCTTTAATTGCTGTTTTCATACCTAACATTTACCTTTTGCTGTCATAACATGGATGTGTTGGGGAGGTGGAGAGATAATTGTCCCAGCATGTGGTTGCTGTGTGTGACTTGTGCGTATTTCCCCTCCCATTAAAAAATATGAATGGCCATTCGATGTCACTTGCTTGAATCATCAGTTTCATTTATTTCTCTAGTCATTATTTAATTACCCAGAACAATCAACCCATAGGCTGAATGTAAGTTTGCTACTATACAGGTGCACTTCATTTTACGTAATTAGAGCTGCTTACAAATCAAGTTGGGAAATCAAATACTGTGAACTTACTGCCTTTAAAATTCATTAACTTTTTGTTAATCACATGATCAGTACAACCTACTGTAAAATAGTTATCTGTTTAGTTTTTCAGGTCTACCTGGTGGATTTTCTTAAAATGGGGGACACCTGTAATGGGTCTTTATATAGAAGAAACATTGAATTGGGAAATTTTGGAAATGGCCAATGAGAGTTTTGTTACTTTTAACTTACTAATTTTAAAAATTGACTTCATTTTTGGTTTTGCCCTTTTAGATATTTTCCAGGTTTAGTAGGTTCCCAATTCCATGTCTGTAATCCATCAGCATATGCACTGAGCTGTTCCACTTGCAGGGGGCACTGTGGGCACCTGGGATTGCGTGGGAACCACAGAGTGGATTGAGTCTAGCATTTGTGATTGTCTTCTTATGGAACATGTTTTCTTTTTCTGTGGACTCTATTTCAGTTGTGATTATTTGATTCATGTCTTTGCTCATGCTAAATGAATGCTGTTACACGTTTTCTCTGTTTTACAAAGGAAATAATGTTTTCCTTTCTTCCCTCCTCATCTCTGTGCTTCCTGTCTGCGACTCGCTTACCGCTTCTTTGCAAGATCAAGCAGGTTGGTGTGATTGGCTTGCACTCCACGTGGTGCAGTTACTCATTTTCTCAAGACCTTTTATTTCAGTTCTTCACATTTTTTTAATTTAATAATTTTTACAAGGTAAGTATCTTTTTTTTTAATTCCGTCTTAGCTACTTTAAAAAACCTTTTCCCTAAATCCTTAAAGATCACTAGACCAATTTTTGAAAATACATTTATAATTGGTTTGACACATTCAGGCATTTTTCTGTTTTGAAGGCCAAGAGTCAGTTCCTGTTGCCCACACCATGGGTTCTTGTGATACAGATGACATTAATCTAGTTGGCACTTGCTGCAGCACCGCCCTTAGCCGCCCTGCCAGGTCCCCTTCACTCAGGTAGCACCTGGCAAAGGGGAACAGAAAGACTCACTACTGCTCTTTGACTTAGCTAAATACCTTTTATAATATCAACATGGATTTTACATATATATCCCCACCCCCAGCCCCGTCTCCCAGGCAGTGTTTCTCTGAGTAACAGCCCTGGCTGTCCTGGAACTTGATTTGTGGACCAGATTGACCTCAAACTCACAGAGATCCTCCTGCCTCTGTCTCCCAAGTGCTGGAATTAAAGGTGTGCACCACCACTGCCCAGCTGCCTTTTGGGATTTATTTACTTAATATTTTTGTGCAAAATTTTATCATGGAGAACTAGAAAAGTTTCTGAGATTTGGGAGTTTTTGTTGTTGTTGTTGTTGTTTGTTTTGTTTTTTAAATTGACTTGGTTGAGGAGACTGTGTATGTGTGTATTGCCCTGGGTATGATCCTAGGGCTTTGCACGTGGTGACCAAGGACTGAGCTATACCACATCTCCTTTTAGCAATCCCTAGAAGTATATGTAGTCTCTCATCCCATTGGAGGATCAGAGTGCTCATTGACTGCTGGGGGCAGGTCGTTTCAGGCCCCTGACAGCGTTCCCAGTGGAAGCAACCCACTGAAGGCTAAGGCTTGTATCCAGGGAGCACAGGGTAACAGTTCATTCCTTAAAGATCTATCTACAAGTTACTCTTGGTCACCACATTTTTTACACAGTCACATTTAGCTTAAAGTGTTATTTGAAAAAAAATACCATGTCTTGTCATGGTGATTCTGGCTAGAGCCACATGGGACTTGAATGTGTAGACTTTTGAACTGACCCTAGCTGTGTGGAGAGTGTCTTCATGACATGCTCTTGAGCACAGTGAGACACTTGCTTCTAAAGCATGGGTTTGAAGGGGTTACTATAGAAGGCAATCAGTTCATCAAGAGACAGTGTTTATGTATTTTATATGCAAACTCTTTCTGTATTACTCTCTCCTGATGGGTTTTTGGAACTCTTTATAACCATTAGCAAAACAAATCACTACAAGTCCAAATTTCTTATTTGATCCATTCATGCAGTCTGTGTCCTTAGTACCCATGTCTTCTACACACACTATTTTTTTTAATGTATTTGCAATTTTTCTCTAAACATTTGTAATACTGAGGTGGGAAGTTACATGTTTACTTCCTGTAAACCTCAACTTAGACTTTTCTTCTACAATTTTTAGTAAGTGTTATTATGGATAGAAAATCTTTCCAAGTAATTCATTGGGAATAGAAGTTAACTTATTTGTGAAAATATTCTTCTAAAACATAATTCAGAAGGTTCAAGGCAGGTGGCTGTGCCGATAGGCCCAGGCCCACCTCCGACACGGAGTGCAGTGAATCACACCACACCAGCCGCCTGGATCTTAGTTCCTCTTTGGTTTTGTGCCTAAGATTTTGCTTTAGACTTTAGTTCTGTAGAAGGAAGGATGCCGTTAAACCCTTGAGATTTTGTCTCAAGAGTTGAAAAAGCCTATGCATGACCCTGCCTTTCATGGTTCCTACAAGACTCTGCTCAGATCTGTAGTGCCATCGTGATTGTTTTCAGTTCCTTTTCCTTAGCAGGAGGGGCTGGGTGGGGTGGAGACACTGATCTATAGTCCTCCATCCTTGTCCCTTGGGAGGGAAGTTGAGAACGACAAACTGAGGAGAGCCTCAGGTCTGACAGTTCTATGAAACGCTTGTTGTTCCGAGGGAGCGTGTTTCTCAGAACTTGCATCAACCAGAAATGAACTGTCATTGGCTCAGTTTCAGAACCATCTAAATAAGCGAGTGTCTGTTTTCTCTTTTTGATTTTTTTCATATAACTTCATGGTTTGGAGGTTCATTGGTGAACTTCGTGTGAGCAGGCTGCATACATACACCTACACATGCTTGGACATGACAGTCAGTTGGAAGCTGCATTCCACCTTTATTAGTTGGTAGTGCTTCTGCTGACTGTTGGTTCTTAGCATGTTTGATCTGAGTTAGGGACTTAGGTGATCTAGTTTGTTATAGTAAGTTACTTTGGTGGCTCATTTATGATTTACCAGGGCGGCTTATCAGTGTAAAACACCTGCCTTAAATGAGTAATTTAATGATTGTGAAAGTGATTGAAGAATCATTTTCCTTTTTAGCCTCTCTGCACACTTTGGGGACCCACAAGCTTTGCTTTTTTATTTGGCTTTCCTGTTACTTTTCTTTCCCTATTTTTCTGCTCATCTCGTTTGTTCTCTTTCATTTTCCCCCTCACATATCATTACACAGTTAGACAACAGTTTGAATTTATTAATGAATTAAAAAATTCTAGGAACTATGACGTAGAAATGGAAGTTGAACATTTGCTGTTGTGTGACTGGGTATAGACAGTGCTGTACTAAGATAATTCTTATGTCTGAAACATTGACTACTTTTAGTGACTGCTGCAATTAAATGACTCAAATAGGTAAAAAGAAAGTTTCCCCAGATAAGATGGTGGAAATGCAAGCGAAAATTGATGAGGAGAGAAAAGCATTGGAAACAAAACTTGACATGGAAGAAGAAGAAAGAAACAAGGCTAGAGCTGAACTGGAGAGACGGGAGAAGGACCTTCTGAAAGCCCAGTGAGTGTGGTGGGTCCAGATGGGCTCATGGCTGGAGTTCTAATGTTCTTCATAGGGCTGTGTATCAGGAAAATCGATCAATTAAAAGTTAATGAAAATCTTGATTTTTGTTTCCAGCATAGCTGTTTTAGGGTAGAGGGTCTACTGTGTGTGATATATTTTTAAAACTTGGATCTTTCTGATCATTTAATCTCTGTGTTGGAGAAAATATTGGCCAAGGTGAATTAATCCTTAGTTGATGAGTTAATACCATGTAGTGGTGTGCTTTGGCGAGTATCACATGACTGAACTTTTCTAAGTGTGCATCTTCAGTTCTGCTTGAATTGGGGGAGTGAGATTAGAATGGCAGATGACAGGGATTTAGAATGTCCTCCTTTTCCTTATAGACAAGAGCATCAGTCTTTGCTGGAAAAGCTGTCTGCTTTGGAGAAGAAAGTCATTGTCGGTGGTGTGGACTTGTTGGCCAAAGCTGAGGAGCAAGAGAAGCTTCTTGAGGAGTCCAATATGGAGCTGGAGGAGAGGAGGAAGAGAGCTGAGCAACTTCGGAAAGAACTGGAGGAAAAAGAGGTGACGCCATGTTGAGTGTGGTGTGCAGCGCGCTCACCTTTTCCAGGGCAAACTAAATCCCAAAGATAAAATGGAAAGCAGATTATGGATCATTTTGAAGACAATAGTTACCAAACGTCTAGATCATTTGTTACGTTGAATTTGTGACTTAAAATTATTCTGAAGTTAACCTGTTTTTATCATAGCAAGAACGTTTGGACATTGAGGAAAAATATACCAGTCTACAAGAGGAGGCACAGGGAAAGACCAAGAAATTAAAGAAAGTCTGGACCATGCTGATGGCTGCAAAGTCAGAGGTTGGTGTCTTAGAAATCTCTATAATACAGTTTAGAATCTTAATGTGTGTTTACAGGTTTTTTGTTTGTTTTGTTTTTGTTTTTAAGACAGGATTTCTCTATGTAGCCCTAGCTGTTCTGGAATTCGCTCTATAGACCAGGCTGGCTTTGAACTCACAGATCTGCCTACCTCTGCCACCTGAGTGCTGGGATTAAAGGCATTCACTACTGCTGGCCACCACCGCCACTACCACCTGACTTTGTGTGCTTACAGTTTTAAAGCACTAAAACACTCACTTCTCTCTGTGTATTTTAAATTTTACTTGTTAACTAGCCGGTGACAGTCTGTCCAAGAACTGGGCCAGTGTCCTGGCAGTATTTATGCTTAAAGTCTTGTTTGCTTTATGCTGTCATGGGTTCTCTGGTAGATGGCTGATCTTCAGCAAGAGCATCAGAGGGAAATTGAAGGCCTCCTGGAGAACATTCGGCAGCTCAGCCGTGAGCTTCGGCTTCAGATGCTTATTATTGATAACTTCATACCTCAGGACTACCAGGTGAGATAAGTCTGATCTAGACATTAGGTCATTGAAGAGGGTTAAAGAACAAGCCAGCATAACAAATTAAGATGTTACATGTTCACATTGCAGCTGTCCTCTGTAAAACTTTCTTGAACTAATGCCATCATATAAAAGTGTCTTTGTTAGGGTTACTATGGCTGTGATGAAACACAAAAACCAAACGAACTTGGGGATGAAAGGGTTTATTTGGCTTGTACTTCCACATTAAGTTCATCAGTGAAGGAAGTCAGGACAGGAACTCAAACACGGCAGGAATCTGGAGGCAGGAGCTGATGCAGAGGCCATGGAGGGGTGCTGCTTGCTGGCTTGCTTAGTCTGTTTTCTTATAGAATTCAGGACTACCAACCCAAGTATGGCACCACTCACAATGGGCTGGCTCCCCAGCAATCACTAATTAAGAAAATGCCTGCCCAGACAGTGGTGGCACACACCTTTAATCCCAGCACTTGGGAGGCAAAGGCAGGTGGATCTCTGTGAATTTGAGGCCAGCCTGGTGTACAGAGAGAGTTCCAGGACAGCCAAGGCTAGACAGTGAAATCCTATCCCCAAAAAAAACAAAAAACAAAAAGAAAGAAAGAAAAATGCCTTACAGATGGATCTTTTTTTTTTTTTTTTTTTTTTTTTTTTTGGTTTTTCGAGACAGGGTTTCTCTGTGTAGCTTTGCGCCTTTCCTGGAATTCGCTTTGGAGACCAGGCTGGCCTCGAACTCACAGAGATCCGCCTGGCTCTGCCTCCCAAGTACTGGGATTAAAGGCGTGCGCCACCACCGCCCGGCTACAGATGGATCTTATGGAGGCATTTTCTCAACTGAGGCTCCCTCCTTTCATATCACACTAACTTGTATCAAGTTGACATAAGACCAGCCAGCACAAAAGGTGTTAGCTTTCTTTAGAATGTAATTCTCTTTTCGAGTATCTAAGTATCTAAATAAGAATGTGTCAGCCCGTTGAAAGGAAGGACCTTGCTCCATGTAAATGCATGTAGAATAAAGGTGAAGGTCCTATTGATTGATTGACATACTTTATTAGAAAGTAGAGAGGGAGCTGGAGAGGTGGCCCAGTGGTAAAGAAGGTTGGCTGCTCTTTCAGAGGACCCAGGTCCAGCACCCACATGGCAACCCATCACCATCTGTAACTCCAGTCCTGGGGATTCAACACCCTCTTCTGTCCTCCACAGGTATCAGGCAGACATGTGGTGCACAGATACACATGCAGATAAAACACTCACCTACATGAAATACATGCATAAATACTTTTTAAATAGAATAAGCAGAATGTGCTGCTGTCCTCTTCCTTGATGTATGCATTCTGTGTGTGTGTGTGTGTAAAAATAGAATATGGAATTGTCCATTCTAGTCATCTTTATGTATACAGTTCAATAACACTAAATACATTCACTTAGTTATACAACCAGCCATCATTACTAGTCATTTTCAAACAGGTGGTAATTGTTATCACCAGCATAATTTGAAAATCTTACCTTTTCCTTAGCAAGAATTTTATTTTTCAGTATGTGTATATATGGGAATGTGAGTTTGTGTACAGAGTCTAGGATAGAGCATTGGGTGCCCTAGAACTGGAGTTACGGGAGGTTGTGAGCCGCTGGATGTGTGTGGTGGGAACGCCCCAGGTGTCAGCAGGAGTAGTGAGCACTCTTAACCCTGGAGCCATCTCTCCAGCCCACCTTCCAGTATGTTCTTAATAAATTTAAACCTGTGATTTTTTTAAAAAACAATGTTGTGAATCTCCAAATAGCTATGAGAAATTTGTCTGAAATTTTCCCTTCAGATCTCAGGTACCCAGAGTCAGTCCTGGGTTTCTGGAACACTCCAGAATGTCCTAGTTCCATATTGTAACTCATTACCCCAAATCAGAGCTGAAATCTAGACTGTAACCTATTTCTAGCTGAATGGTTTCCCAGCCTTTCTACCCTTGGTCTCTTCCAGCCCAGCCTGACTGTCCTCCTGATTCCCAGGATCGCAACTTTTGCTTTTTGTTTTTATGTAGTTGAATAGTATCCACATGTGTTCTTAAGAAGTGTGTGTGTGTGTTTAAATTTATTTTTATTTTATGTATATGGATGTTTTCCCTGTATGCATATATGTGACCATGTGCATGCCTGGTGCCCACAGTGACCAGAAGAGGTGTTGGACCCCCTGGAATTAGAATTACATACTGTTGTGAACCACCATGTAGGTGCTAGGAACTGAACCTATGTCCTCTGCAAAACAGTTGGTCTTAACCACTGACCCAACTCTCCAGCTGAAGAAGTGTGCATTTTTAAATGCTTGATGCAGTATATAATGTTTAGAAACAACTATTTTCACTTAACATTGATGAAAGTGTAGGTCAAATGATTCTTCAGCAAGTAAAGGCTTATTATGTAAACCTTGAGACCGGAACCACATGAAGTTATAAAAAGAGAGAACCGACTCCACAAAGTTGTTCTTGGACCACCACATAAGCATTATGTCGTGTCCCTGCTCCCATTGTGTGTGTGTGTGTGTGTGTGTGTGTGTGTGAGTGATAAAATGCAAGGCCCTTAAAAGAGCTTAGTTGAAGGCATGGGGAAGTCAGAGGGATTACCATGAGCAATATATAGTGACAGATACAGGAAAATGTCACATGTTTCTATTGTCACAGTTGTGTTTGTATTTTTCAATATTTTAACTATTGACTAAAAGCAGGCTTTGACTCTTTGTAAAGGAAATGATTGAAAACTATGTCCATTGGAATGAAGACATAGGGGAATGGCAGCTAGTGAGTATTCCTTTCACCCTGAGGAAATGATGGAGTGGAGCTGGTGCCGGCCGCTGGGGGAGGAAGGTGGTGCAGGGTGGGTCAGATCAGAACGCAGTGGACCAGATAGGATCTTTTTCTGAGTAACAGCAAAGTGGGGACCATTCATGGCAGTGGGTTAGGCCTGGGGCTTCTGCCTACTGGGTGGCCTGTTGGATCCTTTCTGCCCCGGGATGCACATCATGCTTCCTAGTGAGCTGTCAGGATGTCTTGCAGCAGCCTTCCCAGTTCGCAGTATTGATTCAGACATCTCTCTTCCCTCTTTCCCTCTCTTGAGAAATGTGTGGCCTACACAGGCAACAACATGAGGAAACAAACCCCAGTGCCTGACAAGAAGGAGAGAGACGTAAGAGCACTTTGAACACTCGTTTGTCTGCATCAGAGTGTGGGTCGGTGGTTGTGCTGTTCCAGCGTGTGGGCTGAGCAGCTGGATTGTCTGTTGTGAGTAGAGGCTCTCGGGCGGGGGCTGTTGGGACAGGTCTGCTCTCTGGCACACACTTAGCAAAAGTTTCATTTTCAGTCCTGCCACAGGTCCAGCCTGCTGTCACTCTGGCGTGCCCTGTTCACCAGTCTGAGCGCTGGGCTGTCCCAGGAGACTAGGGTGCCTTGCTTCCCTGAGTCCTAGATCAACCAGGGTGCTGGTTTTAGAGAAAGAGACAGTTTTCCTTTATGTCTGGGGAGCTTGATGGCATGTCTGGGCTTCTACTTCTCGAGCTTTGAGTGCATTTTACATAGTAGGGTGGGAGACGTCTTTAAGAGGTTGTTTGGTTTTGTCTTCCGTGGTCTTTTGCCCAGTGTCAGTCTGTGTTTTCAATCTTCCCCGAATCTGATTTAACTTCCCTTGTGTGTGTGTTTTTCTTGTAGCCTTTTGAAGTAGACCTTTCCCATGTGTACCTTGCCTATACAGAGGAGAGTCTGCGTCAGTCTTTGATGAAGTTAGAAAGGCCACGGACCTCCAAGGGAAAAGCAAGGCCAAAGACTGGGAGAAGGTGAGGACAGTCCCAAGTCCCCAAGTCCTGAAGTGACAATGTTGTGATACTATATTTAGACACATCTAAAGGAAGTCGAACTTTAGTTAACGTGACATGTGGTTTGAAATTATATTCTTTATGCAATTACAATTTGATAAGCAAAATAGGGATAAAGACTTGTACTCTGTGAGTTTGAGGCCAGCCTGGTCTGTAGAGCAAGTTCCAGGATAGCCAGAGCTGTTACATAGAGAAACCCTGTCTCAACAAACAAACAAAACAAAACAAAAGAATTGCATTCTGGGACAGTTGTGATGGTACACACCTTTCATTCGAGGACTTAAGAGGCAGAGGCAGGCAGATGCTGTGAGTTACAGGCCAGCCTGGTTTGCATTACAAATTTCAAGACAACCAGGGCTACATAATGAGACCCTGTCTCAAAACAAAACAGAAAAAGAACTGCATTCTTTCAGACTTCTGCCCCTGGGAGGAGCAGAGCTAGCTTCAACTCGCTTTGTTCTTTCCTGGTGTTTACCTTCCACCTACTGTCTTGTGTAAGTCTCCTACTAAGATGCTAATTAATTTGCCTTGTTTGACTCCCAAAATACTGTATTCATCTGGTCAGTTTTTCTGACAATAGACATTGCTCCAAGGACATTGATTTCTTAGATCTCAAATTAAGGGAAGCTTGTGTGACTCTCTAGCACCAGTGTTGACAATTATGTAGTCTGTGTGCTTTATCACATAAGCTCAGTGGGAAGCCTGGGCTGGCACTAATGTTCCTTGTGTTCCTACATTGAGCTAATTTGAACCAGTTGGAAGACCTTTGCTTTACATGTAAGGTGAAGGTAATGGGTTTCATGTCTTTGTTACATAGTCTTTTAGATGCAATGTAACACTAAAAATGTTGGAATAATTAAACTAGGGCTAGAAAGAATGAGCTACTTGTTAAAATGTATAAGATTTTTGCATTTTTATCATTTAAATGAGGGATTTAAAGATTTTCAAATGCTAAGTGAATATTTACATGGAATCTTTAAAAATATATAAATATTGATTTTATCTATATGTGAATGTTTTGCCTGCATGTTTATATGTGCACTAATATCAGATTTCCTGGAATAGTTGGTTGTAAGCCACCAATGTGGGTATTGGGATGTGAACTCAGGTCCTCTGGAAGAGCAACAGGTGCTCAAAGGTGCTGTGCCATCTCTGCAGCCTCCACGTGTAGTATCAGGGAATGAAGTAAGTTGTTCTAAGACACAGCTCTTGAAAAATCTCTCCCTGTTACAAGGTTAGTAGATAACCTGCTCTGAGCTCTGAGGTCGTTAGGAAGATGCACTCAGATGTGGCCCATGGTAATGAGACAGTCAGCTTGACAGAGACAGGCAGAGGAGGGCAGGGGAGCAAGCTGGAAAGTGGTTCTGTCCCTTGTTAGTGTAGGAACAGAGGCCCCATCATTGCTGGACCGTTGTCTTTATAAAGAAAATCCAGATTACTTACATGAGCTCTCTCAAGTTCAGCCACATTTTTAAAACTGTGTAGACCTTAAAACAAATAATTTGATAAGCTATTTTGATATAGTTTCTATAATGCACCACTGTAAAAATATGCTTTTTGTTTAGCTTAAGTTAAAGAAAATATTTGTGGGCCAACATGTGATCCAGACTCAACTCAACAGAAACTGTAGTTTTCCTGGGAAATAAGCAAATATGCACAATAAGTGATGTGTTTGTGTTCTGTGGTGAGTGTCCCATGCAGTGCTCATGAGAGGCATGCAGTTCGGTGTGCTGGACAGCAATAAAGAAGGCACATGAGAGTACTCCTGTAGGCCTCAGACACTGTGTGTCCTGCTTCTCTGAGGCTCTCTGTACTGTTAGCCTCCTCCTCCTCGGAGGAGGAGGAGGAGATGACCAAGGGGCATCCCCGATAAGCTTAGCTGACACCTGTCTGCACCTTGTCTGACCCTGTGCTCAGCTCCTCACCACTCTGGAACACCGTACTGTAACACTGTGTTCTTGTGTTTGCTTTTGGTGACCTTGCCTACTCTGGGTACCAGTCAGACTGCTGTGGTCAAGCATGGCCAGTGTTGGTCCATTTGTGGACTCTGGCTACATAATGTGTTGACAGTTTCTTAGGGACAAGCACTCATCTTGCATTTTTTTTTCTTCTCTTAACAGAAAGCGTTCTGCAAAGCCCGAGACCGTAATTGATTCTTTACTTCAATAAATGTTACAGAATTAAGGTTATAATAAAAAATGATATTCTCATGCCTGGACAGAAATCCTTAATTAAGACACTGAGGACACCTGTGTAATTCACATAATGTAAGCTGTAAATTATGGAGTGAGACTGGAAATAGCAACTCTCCTACTAACTTTTAGATTCTTAAGTTTCTGTACCATGTAAGTGCACATAGCTCATGATTGTTGAGGATGCCACACTGTGCCGCAGTGCTCTGCGGAAGTAAGGACACAATTCTTACAGAGCGCTGTGGTTGTATGCGACTGTGCATCTCTTAGCTGTGTACTCAACTATTGCGTATCTAGATAAGCAGAATCTCAGAGTAGAAGAAAGCCTGTCTTGTTTGCACACTGCGCATGGCAGATCGCCTTGTCCTATGTCCTGTGTCAGCGCCTGGGCGGCTCATCTAAGCAGTAACTTCTCCTAACACCCGACAGGCCTATCTAAATGCATTCCGACTTTATACTAACGTTTGTTGCATTTAGGTATGAGATGACTGGTTTTATGGATCTCCTATAGAAAACTATGTAATTGGACAGCTTTGCAGGTTTACATTTTCAAGGTACAGTTTGAACATGCGCTCCAGCGTCTGGCCACCCTCCACCAGTTTCTGTTACCCTGAGTCCACGTTCAGCCTTTGTTGTTGTTGCTGCTGGTTTGGCTTCCCCACCAAAGCCAGCAGTGGCCATTTGGCTTTGCTACACAATTTTAAAAATTCCTTTGTGGCCGGGCGGTGGTGGCGCACGCCTTTAATCCCAGCACTCGGGAGGCAGAGCCAGGCGGATCTCTGTGAGTTCGAGGCCAGCCTGGGCTACCAAGTGAGTCCCAGGAAAGGCGCAAAGCTACACAGAGAAACCCTGTCTCGAAAAACCAAAAAAAAAAAAAAAAAAAAAAAAAAATTCCTTTGAACATATGGCTTACAGACAGACACTCCATTGTCTGAATTTTAAGTTTTGATGGAAATGACTATATACAAATTGAAACCAATCTCATTTTTTTCAGAAAATGAAGCTAAGCCAGAAAAATACCTTTTAATTTTCTTTATAGCATTTTTATATATATAAAAAATACCGTTCTCTGAATTTCTTCTATGGATAATCCAGTTAGTCCATATTCCTCTCCAAAAAAAGTTATATTCAATATGTAGTAAAATAAGTTATAATACAATTTTTTCTATAATAAATGTTTTTATTTCTTGTGTGTCTACTTATAAAATTGTTTTGAAGGTTATGTGCTTCTGAAGCCTATCATGCTTTCTAAGTTTGAAATTGTGCAATCAACTCCAAGCTCTTGATTGCAAAGGTTTTGAGACTTCCCAAGTTAGGATTCCTTAGGTTCCTGTGATTTGAACAAGTAGGGTAAATACTGACTTATCATTCCGGAGGTGTGTGTGTAGGCTGTGGCTGGCTGACTGGGGGTGGAGCCCTGGTGAGGGATGGAAACTGTGGTCATACATTTGTGGAGCCTTCCAGAAGGACCGCTCAGTGTCCTGTATGTGCAGCGTGTGCTGGTACGACCATGGCACTGTGTTGGTGTCCTCAAGGTAATGGATGTGGCCTGGGTGCTGTGACACACTGAGCAGAGTGTGTGTCTTGTAAAGACGCATGTGAGCCAAGAGTCTTGGTGGTGTCAGATTTCTCCTGGTGTAAACTTAACTGTTAGTAATTACAGAATCTTAGTTTTACTAGTAAGGAAAAAGAATCTACATGCCTTCATGTCCATGTTTCTATCATTTAACAGTTTGGCCTGGAAGGAATATCTGCTGTGAATTAAACTAAAACATTAGAGACATTGAATCTAGTGTGTTAAAGCCTATAAGAGTAACAAAAGAACTCCATAAAAACGGAAAATACTGAGAAAATTCTCTAAGCATCTTGCCCTAGTAATTTTGTTTGCTTGCTTGTTGTTTTGAGACAGGATCTCTCTGTGTTAGCCCAGGCTGGCCTGGGACTCATGATCCCTCCGCCTCAGCCTCCCAAGTGCTGAGATTGCAGGTGACATCATCATTGCCAGCAATCTTTATTAAAGCATGTGTGTTAAAACTCTATTCAGATGGACATTGTTCATTTTCTGAAAACCAAATTAGATTCTTGCCAGGTTGGGAGGTCTGTGTGGAGATGGTAGGACACCCACTTCTGCTTCTCATTTACTGTGTCTTTGTCCTCAAAAGGAATTATTTGTATTTTCAGTGTTAATTTCATGAATGGATAGAGATGGAGAACAAACTTGCTTAATGTTTAAAATAAATGTACAGCTTTTAAATGAGTGGGACAGATCTATAAATAGGATATTGACAAGTATCCTTCTTTTTCTTAATTTAAAAAGTAATATTTATTTATTTGAAAAGAACCCTGATAGGAAGTTATGCTGGCTCTGCACTTACATGCTCTACCAGCCAGGCTCTCTCCACTCAGTGTCTGCTCTTGTGATGTTCAGGCTTAGCCGAGGGGAAGGCTGTGCAGCCAGTGTTTACCTCCTACAGGCTGTCTCATTTATGTTCTGGAAAAGGTGATCTTCTAGTTTATGTTTTTGGCAGCCAGAACATCAAGGTTATTTTGGAGGGGAAAGTGTTGCTTTATCTGCAACATTTTTTTAAATTATGATTATAGTTTTAGTATTTCTATTTTCATTTTAGGTTTAGGATGTATCCCATCCTCCCTGCCCCCTTTTAAGTTGTAAGGCAAGGAACACCCTCTTTCCTATAGAGCTGTGAATTAAGGAATGGGCAAAGTTTACATTTACACACACTGTGTCTGCCCAGTTTTTCCTCCTCCCCTCCCCCCCCCCCCCTTATTTTGAGATAAGAGTCCTATGTAGCCTAGGCTGGCCACAAACCCTGTATGTAGTTCAGGTTGGCCTTAAACTCCTGATCCTCCTCTACCTCCTCCTCATGATTGCTGGGATTACACTTGTGCACCACTACACCCAGCCCCCTCCCCCGTTTCTTAATATATATAATTGTTTTCTTCTTTTTTTAAACTACTAGAAAACATAGTTCTTCCTAGTGCCTTTGAGCTGACCATGCAGTTTTGACTAATTAGAATCAGTGGAAATCTGAGCAGCAGTACTGCAATGCTGTTACCGACCAGGATACAGACTGTATAGTAAGTTTGTTGTGTTAATTCAGAAGCCACACTCACGTTGTATTTTATGTATAAATTGTAATTGTTCCAGCTATATATATCAATGTTGTGTGTACATGCAGCATGGTAAGATGAAAAATAAAGTCCCTCCCCAATGCCTACTGTCTTTGAAGACATTTTTATTCTGTTGTGTCTGCCTGTACATGTGTGCACTATGCGTGTGCTGTGCGCCTGGGTTGACCAGAGAGTGTTGGATCCCCTGGAACTGGAGTTACAGTTATGAGCTGCCATGTGTGTGTTAGGCAAACCAAAGAATTCAGAGTGGGTCTTGAGAAGTTTTGATTTCACGACTAAAGGACTTTTTTTCTCAAGTTAGCATACGAAGTGACTGAGTTTCATTATGTCATTTTCAGACACCCTTTTCACTAGACTTTGATCCCTTTCATCCCCTTGGCTTGCCTTGTCGGTCCCCTTCTACCCAAATAATCTTCCCTCTGCTCTCTTGCAAAGGACTTTATTTTTTAAACCTGGGGTTTGCTCCCTTTCCAGCTGCTAGCTTTTGTGGAACCCCTGCTGTGGAGATGCCATACACACCGTCCTCCGAGCCAGGCTATGCCATCTTCAAGTCCAGCCGGGCTTGATGACTGTTGACAGCCCTTGGAAGGGTGGTTGGTACAGGGAGTGTCATCCCCAGCCGGGATGATGGCTGTGGAGATGGGACCAGCTCCCTCCTCCTTCCTACTTACATTCTCCAGTCCCTCCCAGAGACCCTGAGGCCATATACAATTAGAGCAGAATTACAGCTGGTGGGCGTCAGGGAATGGTTGGACACTCGGGAAGGTCCCAGGACAGCCCCAAAGCAATCTTCTCTAAAGCCTGGTGTCCTTTAGGAATAGATGTCTTCACGATTTCCTTTTCCTTTCTAAAGACTGAGTTATTTTATGAGTTTGCATGTTTTGCCTACATCTATGTATGTGCAGTGTGAGTGTGCCTGGTGCCTGCAATGGTCAGGAGAAGGCATCAGATCCTTCTGAACTGGAGTTAGGGACAGTTGATAGCCCCCATGTGAGTCCTGGAAACTGAATTCCAGTCCTGTAAGAGCAGCTAGTGCTCTTGACTGCTGAGCTGTCTCCCCAGCCTTTAAGAATTTCTTTGATTGATTGAACTATGTGATCTAATGGCCTCCCTACCTGTTGCCTAGTTGACACTGGGTCACCATTTCCTACTCCCTTTCTTCTTTGAGACTAAGAGCATTAGTTTTGAGGAGCACACAAGTACACTGTGTGTGTGTGTGTGTGTGTGTGTGTGTGTGTGTGTGTGTGTGTGTAGGTGTAGGGTTCTTACTGCTCTAGGACCTGGTGGTTAGGCCAGGATGGCAGATGGGTGAGTCCCAGGGATGCTCTTTTCTCTGCCTCCCCAGGGCAGATACTGCTATGCTCCACTTTTTACATGAGTGCTCCGCCAAACTTAGCACTTTACTTGCTGATCTACCTCCTCAGCCATGCCCCTTCCCTGACTTTTTTTTCCCCCCGGTTTTTTGGAGACAGAGTTTCTCTGTGTAGGTTTGGTGCCTGTCCTGTCCTCTGTAGACCAGGCTGGCCTCGAACTCACTCTGTAGACTAGGCTGGCCTCAAACTCACAGAGGTCCACCTGGCTCTGCCTCCCTAGTGCTGGGATTAAAGGTGTGTGCCCCGCCTGCCCGGCTTTTCGTATTTTATTTTTATTTGTGTTTGGTGGGAGTAGGGGTAGGGAGGTATTGGCACATGAATGCCAGTGGAAGCCAGAAGAGGGCGTCGGATCCCCTTAAGCTGGGGTTACAGACAGTTGTGAGCCACACAGCATGAGTGCTGGGAACTAAATTCCAGTCCTCTGTAAAAGTAGTTTGTGCTCTTAACCTCTGAGGCATCTCTACAGCCTCCCCACCCCCGCATGTTTGTTTGTTTGTTTGTTTGTGACAGTGTCTTACTTAGCCCAGGCTAGCCTCCAACTCTGTATGTAGCCAAGGATGACCTTCAGTTTCTGATCGTCTTGACTCCACCTCCTGAGTGCTGAGATCACAGGCAGGAGCTACCAGGGCTAGCCATCATTGCTGTTTCCTGTTCTCATCTTTTCCAGTGAATCACTCAATTCATCTGTAAAACTAGGTAGTATCTGAATGAATGATGTTCACCGTCAGCCCAAGTCCGGGGCTTCAGTCAGCGCAAGTTCAGCAGCCACACTCCAGGGGCTCTGAAGCCCACCGAGATTCAGGTTGAGGGGGAGAGCCTCCAGACACATTTGTTAGGAGGTGAGCAGAGTTGCTCCTTAAACAGTTTCATTTGCAAAGCAAATCAGGTATTCCGTCTTCCTTCGGAAGCTGAGCCCTTGTGTGGGAAAGCGATGGTGTAGGGGCTACTTCAAAAACAACCTGTTTCCTCTCGGCATTTATCTTGGGCTTCCTGCGACCCAGCCTTCAGGTTACTTTTATCAGCCTTATCAGAACATCGGTCTGTCTTACCCAAACACGGTTATGGCTCTCTGAAGCATGGGACAGATCAGATGTTCTCCCACACCTGCTCCCCTCCCCCAGCCTCTCAGAGGGCTGGGGAAATTTGAGTTGTAATCAAAGGCTGCATTTCTCCGATTGTAGCTAAGAATTTAACTGGGACTTTACAACCGAATCAAATTTTCTCAGAGTGCGATACCAATCTTAACAAAGAGGATATTGCTTAACCCAACCTAAAAGTACCATAGACGCTGCAGAAATCCTACGCCGGCCTCAACTTCTGATCTCCACCTAGAGTTTTGCCCCGCACTGGCCAGACTGCCTCCTTTTTATTGTTAATTCTTTAAGTTCGCATACAAAATGGTTGATTTAATTGTGGCGTCCTCATACACAAACACCATCAGAATGGGTTTAATTAGTGCCCCTCGCCCCTTTCCTTCCCCATCCTTCCTTCAAATACTTTGGTTTCTGCTTCTCACAGGTGACTTGGTATTCCACCCACCCCATCCCTGAAAATTCCTCCTCCCCTAATTCCCTTTCGCTTTACCCATGTGCACACGCTCTGAATACACACAGATTTAAATCCAGACTCTGCATAAAATGGAAAAAGTTGTCTTTCTCAATTTGGCTTTATTTTGTTTAACATAATCTCCAGCAGCATCTACTTTCTGTAAATACCATGATTTCATTCTTCATGCCTAAGCATGATTCCATTGTGTATATGAACAACATATTCTCTATCTGTGGATAGGCATCTTGGTTCCATATCTTCATGATTGTGCAGGGCTACAATGACTGTGAATGTACAAGCATCTCTGTGGTGTGCTCACAATCCTGGCTTATAGTGAGGAACTGAGTCATATGGTGGCTCTGTGTTTAGTTTTTTGGGAACCTCCGCACCGGTTTCCACAGTGGCTCCCCAGCTTACTTTCCCACCAGCAGTGTGTAAGTGTCCTGGTGCCTCTTTTGAGTGTATCTTGGGACTGGGGAGATGGCTCAGTGGGTAAGGACACTGAGTGGGTGTGTAGACCTGAGTTCAGATCACCAGCGCCCACATAGAAGCCGGGTATGGCGGCTCAAACCTGCCCAGAGCTAGGTGGAAACCGGTGGATCTGGGGCACTCACTGGCCAGCCAGTCTACCTGATGGGATGAGCTCCAGGTTAAGTAAGATCCTGTCTCAAGACGTAAGATGGAGAGTTGGGGAGATGAATCAGAGGGTAAAGGGACTTGTTGTACAAACCTAATGAGCTGAGTTCAATGTCTGATACTCACCTAAAGGAGGGAGAGAGAACTGGCTGTACTTCAACATGTGTGCCATGCCACACAAGAACACACATAGGCATACACTCATACATGCACACATGTACACATGCACACATAGAGGCATACACTTATACACACATGTACACACAGTCATACACTCATACACACATGCACATGTACTCATACATTCACACACAGTCATACACATGCACACACAGGCATACACTCATACACACATACACACACAAGCATACACTCATATATGCACACACACAGGTATACACTCATATACACTCACATGTACACACACATAGGCATACGATCATGCACACATGCATACACACTAACATTCATAAAAAGGAAAAGTAAGATAGTGGTTGAGAAAGACACATGAAATTGTCTGGTCTTCACATTGCAGTGTGAAGTCACATGCACATACATGCTTGTGCGTGCACACACACACGCACACACACACACACACAAAGGCAGTCTGGAGAGCTAAGGTGAGAATGTCATAGTCTCAGGGTGGGAGACCAAGAGGACTAGGATGCACCTCACAGTAAAGTGCTTCTCTACATGCACAAGGCCCTAGGTTCAATCCCTAGTACAGCAGGAGGGGAAATCTTTTTTAAATTGTTGGGGTTTTTTGTTTGTTTGTTTGTTTGTTTGTCGAGACAGGGTGTCTCTGTGTAGCTTTGTGCCTTTCCTGGAACTCACTTTGGAGACCAGGCTGGCCTCGAACTCAGAGATCCGCCTGCCTCTGCCTCCCAGTACTGGGATTAAAGGCATGCGCCACCACCGCCTGGCTTGTTTGTTTGTTTGTTTGTTTGTTTTTTCATTTTTTGAGACAAAGTTTCTCTGTATAGTTTTTTTTTTTTTTTTTTTTTTTTTGGGTTTTTCGAGACAGGGTTTCTCTGTAGCTTTGCGCCTTTCCTGGTACTCGCTTTGGAGACCAGGCTGGCCTCGAACTCACAGAGATCCGCCTGCCTCTGCCTCCCGAGTGCTGGGATTAAAGGCGTGCGCCACCACCGCCCGGCTCTCTGTATAGTTTTGGTACCTATCCTGGATCTCACTCTGTAGACCAGGCTGGCCTTGAACTCACAGAGATCCGCCAGGCTCTGCCTCCCGAGGACTGGGACTAAAGACGTGCACAAGCGCCACCTGGCTTGTTTGTTTGTTTTAGAGAGGCCAATTCAAGAGGTGTCAGCCACGACAGTTACTTAAGGGGCTACAGTGCCCGAGAGTGAACCTTGTGTTGAATAAATTAACCCTGCAAGTTAACAAGACATCGGCCCCAAGACTAGAGAAAACCCTACCTTGCCCCGGGTGGAGGTGGACAGAGCTGAGAGCCTGGCCTGTGTGTTGATGGACCACACTGCGCCTCTTCCACGAGGAGGCTGTGAGCTGTGCCATCCTCGGAGGATCTGGATACTGTGGGGTGCCAACTGGGAGGACACAGACAAACCAAGGTCACAGGCGATGGTGCAGACAGAGCAGTGACAAAAAGAAAGCCCGAGACATTTTTTAGGTGACATGTATTTATTCGCATGTGCCCATGTGTGTGCATGAGCACTTAGGAATCCATGTGCATGCAACAGAGCATGTGGTGGCTAGGGACAGCCTGTGGAAGTCAGTTCTCTCTGTCTACCATGTAGGTCCTGGGCACCAAACTCAGGCCTTCAAGTTTGGCAGTGAGCCCCTTTATTTACTCGACTGGCACATCCCTGTGGCGTTCTTACTAGAGGCCAACATTTCTTAATGCACCCCCCAAAAACGTTGCACACAAGACACAGCTGTATGGCTTCGTTAGGGCATGTATCCACTAGATATTTATTACCCATTGCCAAATGCCAGTTAGTGACAGCCTATCCAGTGGGTGAGGGTAAGAGCAGTGATGGTAGGAATCATGGGAGAGAGGGCCGATGGTTCCACCCTCGCTGTCAGTGACAAGGTACACTCCACCGAGCAGGCGCTGGCCGTGGCTGGGTGGCCTCCGTAACTGCTCCAATCACAAGCCTCATGCCTTTCACTTAACCCTGAAGTTTCTCCACTCATGTGTCTTATGTGCGTCCTTAACCTGTGTTCTCGTCCTCTCTCGGTCCAATCAGAGGTTGGTGGCTGGATGTTTAAATCCAGAGTCCAGGACCCCCTGTCGGAATGCAAACAAGGAGGTTAGTGTGTCCTGACCATCCATGCTTCCTGTGTCGTTGGCTGACCTGTGTGCATCCTGTGGTCTGTTCTAGGTCTTTCTGTTTGACAGCCTTTCCTTTATCGGCCTGGCCTCATATACCAAGCGCTAACCCACAGCTCACATCCTGTGGCAGACGCAGCTCACCTTAGCTAGCTCATGCAAATGACTTTCAATCAAAGGAGAAAGGAAATTAAAATGTTAACTCTGTATCTTCCCCAATTGGCCTTAGACTTTTATTGCCCCTGGCACACTGGTATTTTATGTGGGCAGGGTGAAACTGACTGTGGTCAGGGTGAGATTTGAAGCTTTGATTTGTTCCCCTTGTTTTGAAGGGGTTAAAAAGTTGGTATATATTTTTGGTGTGATTTTAGTACTGGTGTTAATTTTCGTCACATGCGTGTGACTGAGGGTCAAAAGAGTGCCAAGTCACTGTTACTAGCTTCATCTTCCTTCACAGAGCGCCCTCTGAGGGGCAGGTTCCATGCCTTGGGGCTTGGTTAGGGTCTCTCCTCTAGCTTCCATCCCTTTAAAATAGCAGTGTTAAGATATAACTCTTGCTCTTTTAAAAAATACATTTTCCTGGGCAGTGGTGGCACATACCTTTAATCCCGGTGCTCAGGAGGCAAAGGCAGGCGGATCTCTGTGAGTTCGAGGCCACCCTGGTCTACAAAGTGAGTTTCAGGACAGCCAGGGCTATACAGAGAAATCCTGTCTCAAAAAAAAAAATTTTTTTATTCGAATTTTATGCACATTTTGCCTTCATTTATGTCCACGTACAATGCGGATGCAATGTCTGTGGATCCCTTAGAACTGAAATTTCAGTTGTACGCTGTCACATGGGTGCCAGGAATCAAACTGGGTCACCAAAACTAAACAGAATTCTATCTCTTATACACATGGACAAGGTTGAGCACGCAACCACCACCCCCATCACACACACACACACACACGCACGCACACACACACACACACACACACACACACACGACCTAAAATGGACTGGCTGCCCATAGTCACCTCCAGCTTTGCCTCACCCCTCCTTAACCCAGGTACGTTCCATCTTCCCTCTGTTTTGTTTTCATCCAGTGGCTGTTATCACAAGTTCAAAGATCTCTTCATTCATTCTCTACTTTTCTTCACTTTTTATTAAGAAAACTTTCAGGGCTGGACAGAAGGCTCAGCAGTTAAGAGCACCGACTGCTCTTCCAGAGGTCCTGAGTTCAATTCCCAGCACCCACATGGTGGCTCACAACCATCTGTAATGAGATCTGGTGCCCTCTTCTGGCGGGCAGGCAGAACACTGGATACATAATAAATAAATCCTTTAAAAAAAAAAAAGAAAGAAAGAAAAGGAAGGAAGGAAGGAAGAAAACTTTGAAATCCGTGTGAAAACAAAGCAGTGGCCTGTGACCTGTCCCCAGCTGTAGCCATCATTAGTTCATGGCTACCCTCTGAATTTTTTGAGATTTGTTCATTTTTATTTTATGTGTGTGAGTGTACTGCCTGCCTGCCTGTCTGTGCTCTGCATACAGTGCCCACAGAGGTCAGAATAGGGTGTCAGATGCCCCGGAACTGAAGTTACAGACAGATGTGAGCCACCATGTAGTGTGGGGACTTGAACCCAGGTCCTTTGGAAAAGGAATCCGTGCTTTTAACCAGTGAGTCGTCTCTTCAACCCTAACTCATGACTACAACTATTTTCTTAATTATCATCTTTAGATATTACATATTAATTTCCTTATTGAAAAATTAAGATTTACTTCATGTTTTTTTGGAGGGTACAGAGTTGAGGCAAAATCTTATTTATTCAGGTTGGTCATAACTCACATTCTTTTTTAAAATTTTTTTACTTTTATTCTTTTAAATTATGTGTGAAAGTGTATGTGTGCGTGTGGCTGTGTACTCGTGAGTTGAGTGCTCTCAGAGGCCAGAGGCGTCAGATCCCCTGGAGTTAGAGATAATTGTGATCCACCATGTGTGTTCCGGGAAACAACTTGGTCCCTTTTCAAAGAGCAAGACCACTGAGCCCTAACCACTGGGCCATCTCTCTTGCCCAATAACTTTTTTTTTTTTCTGACAACAGTGTTTCTCTTTGTAGCTCTGGCTGGCCTGCAGCTCACTATAAAGACCAGGCTGGCCTCAGACTCACAGAGATCCACCTTCCTGTGCCTCCCAAGTGCTGGGATTAAGGGTGTGTGCCACCACGCCTGACTACCCACCCCTGCTCTTAACCAATCTCCCTGTTCTGTCTCAGTCACTGTCTTAGTTCCCGTTCTTGCTGTGATAAGACACCGAGACCAGGGCAACTTAGAAAAGAAAGTATTTCCTTTGGGGCTTCAGGTTTCTGGGGGTCGTAGTCCATGACGGTGGAGCAGAGGCATGGCGGCAGGGACGGCTGAGAGCTCACATCTTGATCCACAGGCAGGAGGCAAAGAAAGCACACTGGGAATGCCTGGGCTCTGTGAAACCTCAAAGCCTGTCCCCAGGGACGTGACTCCTCCAAGGCCACAGCTCCTAACCTTCCCAAGTAGTTCCACCGACTGGGGACCAAGTATTCAAAGACGAGCCTATGGGGGCCATTCAGACCACCAGTCCCCCACGGGACCAAGGGAACCCCCTATCTGGCTTCCCTGTGAAAGTTTTTGTAGTAATGTTTTCATAGTTCCATTGGGTTGACAGTTTTAAACACTTAGATCTCTCGTTTTTCTTTACTATACTGTGATGGTATGTACATATAATGTACATACCTACGGAGGTCAGAGGCCGACTTTGTAGAGAGTTGGTTTTCTCTTTCCACTTTTCTGTGGGTTCTGGGGATCCATGCTGGCCTGCCTCAAACTGGATTGTAGGTATGTGCGATCAATTCCCTGCTCTTTAAAAAAATATTTTTTAAAAAATTTCTGGTTCTTGTTTCATCAACTGCAGGCTCTGTAGTCTCAGTGACTCCTTCCCAGGGAGGGTGGGGTGTGGTGCCTTTTTGCTTTGAGTGTGTGTGTGTGTGTGTGTGTGTGTGTGTGTGTGTGTGTGTGTATGTTAGGGGGTTTGAGTGTGTGTGTATGTTAGGCAGTTTGAGTGTGTGTGTATGTGTGTGTGTGCATGTTAGGGGAGTTGAGTGTGTGTGTGTGTGTGTGTGTGTGTGTGTGTGTGTGTGTGTGTGTGTGTGTGTGTGTTAGGCAGTTTGAGTGTGTGTGTGTGTGTATGTTAGGCAATTTGAGTGTGTGTGTATGTTAGGGGGGTTGAGTGTGTGTGTGTGTGTGTGTGTGTGTGTGTGTGTGTGTGTGTGTGTTAGGGGGTTTGAGTCTCTGTGTGTGGTGGTCCAGAGGATAATCCCATGAAATCAGTTCTCTCCTACCTACAGATTCATCTCCCTGGCTCTTCTATACTTATTTTATCTTGTTTTTATGTGGATGGATGTTTTGCCTACATGCATGTTGTCTGTGTACCACATGCATGCCTCCATAGGAGGCCAGAAGAGGGCATCAGATCTGCTGGGACTGGAGTTACTGTTGTGAGCTGTCATGTGGGTGCTGGAGATTGAACCTGGGTCCTCTGGAAGAGCAATAAGTACTCTTAGCCGCCAAACCATCCCTCCAGTCCCCTTTCTAATAATCTATTTATTTTTATTTTGTGTGCATTGGTGTTTTGCTGCATGTATGTCTGTGTGAGGGGGTCAGATCTTGGAGTTACAGACAGCTGTGAGCTGCCATGTGGGTGCTGGGAATTGAACCTGGTCCTCTACAGAGCAGTGGGTGCTCTTAACGGCTGAGCCATCTCTGCAGCCCCCTCCAGCCCCCACTTCTGTCCTTTAATGATCCTGTGCATTGTGTCCTCAATGAGGGTGGGGACTCCTTGAGAAGGAAGCCAGCTCTCTGTTCTGTCCTCAAACCACTTGTAGCCACTGTGAATTATGTGGTTTCTGTAACAGTCTAAACTATGACCTCATTGCCAAGTGAAGTGTCATTAATTGTCATTGCTGTTAGATAATACATATATTTTATTTTGTGAATTATAAATATATAAATATTAAAAAAATAAAACCATTAAAAACTCATATAAGTTAAAACGTGGAACTTCCACACTGCCAGTATTTCCTTTGCATGATCCTTCTTAGGCTTTCCAAGAAGTCTTTCAGTGTTGTGTGCGTGGACTCATTCCCAGTACAGCTTCTCTACAAAAGAAATGTTTCATTGTGTGAGTATTTACTTGGGTCTCACCCTCAGGCCCGTGGGCTCCGTCAAGCCGGCTCTGGAAGCCTCCAAAACCATGTTCAAACCAAGGCTTCCAGGCTCTCTCAACCTGCGTGTGACTTTCATGAGACTAACGAGATTTGGCCTGCTTTTCGGCACGTGCTGTGGTCTCTGGAGTGGCGTGTCACAGATGGGAGGGAGGAACAGACCGTGTAGGCTCAGATGTAGCTCTGTTGCCACCCGGCCTGCGGAGCAAAATGGAAGTCTCACTGCCCTTCTGCCCAGGAATCGGAGGCATTTCAGAGTGGGGACGCTACGCTGCACATAGCCAGGAGTCTAGGAACCCCTCCATGCCGACGCCACAGTTTGGGTCTCAGGGCCACCAGTTCTTTGTCACATAGCTTAGACCAGCCACCTTGCTTACAAAAACTTCAGGTCACTGGGTGGCGATGGCGCATGCCTTTAATCCCAGTCCTCAGGAGGCAGCGCCAGGCAGATCTCTGTGAGTTTGACGCCAGCCTGGTCTACAGAGTGAGATCCAGGACAGGCATCAAAACTACACAGAGAAACCCTGTCTCAGAAAAAAACAAAAACAAAAACAAAAAAACCAAAAAACAAAAGCTTCAGGTCGTCCCCTTGGGGACAGCTGTGGGGTGGTAGTGCTGAGTTTATCCATCAATGACGATCTAGCCACATCCTTGTTCCTACCCTGTACAAGCCACTGTCATCCCTGTCCTGGCCATGCGATGAAGGCCCTCCATTGGGCTGTCTTATTCTCTACCCAGGAGCCAGTGGGAATGAATATTACTTGGAGCACCCATGGGCTCCATCCTGTCAGTAACTCTAGGTGTTTCCCTCCATCCCTGGGACAGCATCCGAAGGCTCCCGTGAACCCAGCTGCTAAACCTACTTCTTCTCTGTAGATCAGGCTGGCCTCAAATTCAGAGATCCACTTGCCTCTGCCTTCTTAGTGCTGGGATTAAAGGCATGTGCCATCACCACCTGGCTTAAACCTGTCTTCTTAACTCTGATCCAGCCACACTAGAACACACGCATTTCATCCACGCATTTGTCTGTTAATCTCATGGCCTGCTTCCTTACTTAATCCAAATATCTGAGGGGGCTCAGAGAATCAGCCCCCTCCCCAGCCACCCACTCTCTTCATTCCTAGGCCTTTATTGCTTGTTTTTTTTTTTTTTTCGAGACAGGGTTTCTCTGTATAGCTTTGCACTTTTCCTGGAACTCGCTTTGTAGACCAGGCTGGCCTTGAACTCACAGAGATTCGCCTGCCTCTGCCGCCCGAGTGCTGGGATTAAAGGCATGCGCCACCACCGTCCGGTTCCTAGGTCTTTCTTCATAGCATGAAGACAACTGGGCATTGTATTACTCTTTATCTCTTCTAACTACCCCACTAGAACCTTCCGTGAGAGCAAGAGCTCTGTCTGCTGCCTTTAAGGCTGCTCCCTCAGTGTGTAGTCTTTGGCAAGCTGTTGTCCTGCCCTGCTTACCTGTGGAGACAGGTTGCTGATGCCCCTGTGGAGTCTCTTCAGGGCTTTGAGAACCCCAGAATTGTTCTTCAAGCACGGGGTCACCTCACGTGGGAAATAAAACTTGCGAAGCACCTGGGAAGCCCTGCAGATGAGCTCCTTCTCTGTGGTGTTCTGCAAAGAGAAGCCATGCAGGAAGCTGCCAGCTGCTTGGGTTTGAACTGGAGCAGGTGACGACTTTCCTACCCCAAAGGTGAGTCTGCTAAACTCGGAATCTATATGCAAATATTTCTGCAGAACCTCCCAGGTTCTTTTCCATGGAGGGTTTTATTGAAGGGGGTTCCTTCAGCAAAGTCACCCACCTAGGTAAATGGCAGAGTGGGGAGCACCTGTCTGCACCCCCAGCCCCCATCTTTCTACCCTGTGGCTTTTCCTTTCTGCCCAAGGTGCTCACAGGAGCTCTTAGCCAGCTGTGGCTCTGCATGGTCCTGGGGATCCTCCATGTTTGCTGATGGCCGAGTGCCTGCTGGGGGCATGCTCCAGGTGGCCCGACCCAAGGAGAAGCAGGATCTGGATATGCTCATAGTCCAGTGAAGGATTAAGGCATGTCCTCCAGAAAGCCAGAGATAGGAGCACAGTAGGTGGTCAGGAAAGGCTCCTAGGAGAGGGTGCCATTGACCTGGGCCTTGGCTATGGCTTCTGAGGGGAGCCTTTGCTCATCATTGGTAGAGATGAGAGCTCCCGGCTCTTCCCAAGGACTCAGGTCTCAGAAGACAGAATGCACCAGGTGGGGAACCTGGGAGAGGGGACGTCCCTGTCTCTCCAGGCCTCAAGTTTCCTCTGGTTTCCCCTGAAGCTCACAGACAGACAGATCATGGAGAGTGTCGGCATGAGTCAGTCTCCGTATCCCACAGAGAGAAGCTGTCTCTACATAACCCTGGCTACGCCACAGCCTGCATATGACATCATGGGGAGCTTGTTAGCGACTCTCACGGCCCACCCATCCTGAGCCAGGATGTGCCATGACGACACCAGGGGAGCCGACAGGCAGGGTGCCGCCCAAGCAGCTTCCCGCTGTTTTCACTTTTCATGCCTATTTTTTTTTCTGACGACTATTATGGTATACTTAACAAAAACGAATTCACTTATCCCACCAGCCAGAGGTAACTCTTACACTGCTAATATTTGGGTAGATATCAGGACTGGGGGGCGAACTCAGTGGTAGAACACTTGCCTAGCATGTGTCAGAGCCCAGGTTCAATCTCCAATACAGGAAAGAGAGAGAGAGAGAGAGAGAGAGAGAGGGAAAATACCCAAATATTTCACTAGAGTTTTGTTGGCTTGAGACAAGGTCTCACTGCGCATTCCTGGCTGGCCCAGAACTCACAGAGATCTGCCTGTCTCTCCCTCCTGTGCTGGGACTAAAAGTGTGTGCTGTCACGCCTGGCTTATCAGCATGTAGCCTCTAAAACTAGTTAGATTAAAAATGGAGTTGGAAAGAGACTTCACCAAGTGGGGACATTTCAAAAGAGCCAGTCTCAAAGGCAGCTGAAGCGGGGATCTTCAAATTCCAGTTCCATTGATTTTGCCGCCAAGGATGGCATGGCACCCCCCTCGCCCGCTTGATTGTATCTCTGCCTGAGAAAGTCCTCCCTGGCAGGGCTAGCCGTGGCTCAGGGAGCACACCGTGACAGGCAGCCAGTCTTGTACCTCAGTCCTCACCACAAGCAAGTCTGTGGCTCACAAGAATGGCAGGAAATGGCTAGCTAGGAGGCGTCTTCTGTGGCAGCAACTGTTTCAGGGTCCTCGCAGCTCTCTACCAGCCTCGCGTAGGCCCAGGGGAACGGAGTCCTCCTGGCCCCATTGTATTTCTTTCTCTCTAATTGGGCCCAAATCTAATCAGCCAGTGCTTTAGATGAGGCAATCCTTTAAAAACAAATGGGGCCAGAGGAGATGGCCCAGTGGTTGGGGTGCTTCCCTCGCAAGCATGAGGCCCTGAGTTCAATCCTCAGAACCCGTATGTTTTTTAAAAGGCTGCATGTGGTGGTGTTCCTTAGTCATCCCAGAGGTAGAGTGACAGAGACAGGAGGATCCCTGAGGCTCAGTGGGCAGCCAGCCTAGCCTGCTTGCCAAGCTCCAGGCCATGAGAGACTGTCTTAAAAAAATAAAAAGGCACCATAGAGAGGGTGCCGCTACATGCACGAACACACACACACACACACACACACACACACACACCCTCAGAGTATGTCAAGGGCTTTGGTCTTTAATTCTCTTTCATAAAGAGGAAATGCCCCAGCTGATGGGCCACCCAGAGGCCCTTCACAAAACAGCCAGCTTGGTGCTTGCCACGGCTTTTCCTCAGGGATGTCCGTGTCCCGGCCAGTATTGCCTGTGACACCAGGGCTTTATCTCAGAGCACTCTTCCTACCGCCAGCTGGGTGCTGCCCAGCTTGAAGAGGCCGTGAGCTTTGGTCCTCCCCAAAGATAAAGTCAATGAACTAGAGTTTGAAAAAGTAGTCTCTTGGGAACCCCAAAGAAGTCATCCCCCTCAAACCAATTTTGTGGCCTCTAGAGAAGAGCTCTTCCCTGGTCAGAAATGCCACACTATGAAGGTAAACAATGCCAAATCTTTGGGGGACAGACAAGAAGGGGGAGGGGAGCGAAACCAGGAGGCCCTGACGTTTGGGGGAAAGCCCACGAAACAAGAGTGTGACAAGCAAGAAAGGCTTGTTTTCAAGCACTGGTAAGTGTTGGGGGCAGACTGAGGAAGAGCAAGGCCAGCAGGAGGGTGGGGGTGGGGAGGAGCGCACGCAATGTAGAGCCAGCCTACAGTGAGGAGGCCCAGGCTTGGAGCCATGGAGGCTGGGCTGAGCACTAGGTCAGAGTCCAGAGCCTCACACAAACACTTCCAATGAAATTCCTAGAACTGGCCTCCAGCCCTCAGACGACCTTCAGAATCACCCTTTGTGTCTCCACATCTGGACACTGAGGCTCCAAGATCAATGAAGATCTGCCAAAAGCCAGATGGCCCGTGAATGGCGGAACCACAGGCTCTCACACCCAGGCCTGACGCTTCCGCCAGGCCCAGTTCCCAGGAGCTGGTCCCTGCCCTGGGCTTTGCTAGGGCAGGACAGTTGACTCAGCTTCTGGTAGCTACCATCTGAGTTGGAAGGACTCAGAGATCAATAAATACTTAAGGTTACATAGATGTAAAACAGCGATATATATATATATATATATACATATATATACATATATATGTATATATATATATATACAAATACACACATATATGCATATGAGTGTTTACATATATGCGTAATACATGTGTATTTGTACTTCAGAAACTCGGCCTGGAGTAATCCTGAATAAAATGAGATCATCCAGATCCAGTCATGAGGGCAGTTCCCCTGTGAATCAGGATGAACCTTGTTCACAGCCTGGGTGCTGGGCTATGACCCCAACTACCCCCCAGAGCTTCGGTCCTGACCCGCCCCCGTCCGGCGCACGTGGGAAGCAGGCAGGGGGAGAGCACTGGGAAATCAAGGCTCTGGGGCTTTTCATTCTCAGTTGCGTGTTTCCATGAAAACAGGAACTGCAGTGCACAGAGCTATTGATCCGGAGGTAGCCAGTCATGTGTTTGTGAGAGAAAATGCACTATCAGCTGTCACATCTGTCCCCTCCCACTCCAGAAGGAGAGGTGGGGGGAGGCAGAAAGGGGAGGTAGGTGCCCAGGCAGAAGCAGGGATGGGTAGACTCCAACCAGAGGACAGGTCCAAACGAGGCTGAAGGGGACAGGGGTGGGACAGAGTGAGCTGAGGAGCCACAGAGAGGGCCACCATCCCAGCGGGCTCTTAGGTGACCAGGCTGAGAAGGAGGAGATCTGGCAGTACCATAGGAAGTCTCTTAGACAAAGTGAAAGCCTTCTCAGCCTGTAATCTCCATATCTGTTTTTGAGAGAGTATTCGGTTTTTCAGAAATGCATAGGCCAAAGGAAGAGAAAGGAGAGAGAGAATTCTCTCACTCAGCAGGCACAAATTGTGTATCTCCTATGTTCCAGAGACTGCGCCAAGACTGGGTAGGACTCTCGGGACGCCTGCACCCTGAGTTAGGATGAAGAAGGCAGGCGTTCTATGACATGTCTAGTGAAATCCGAAACTGCAAAACACACCGGAGAGTAACTCAGCCTCCACAGTGTAGAAGAATGCCTCCTTTGGGCTTGCCAGCTTTCTGTCACAGAAGTTTCTTATTCAGACACTTGCGGGTGACGCTCCTCTCCCACCTACCGCGTAGGCCAAAGCTGACCCCACGGCTCCACTTACCTTCCTTGCTGTAAGGACGTCTGGTACAACCATCTCGGTGCATGGTGTCTTGACGATGGAAAGATGGAAAGATAAGAGTTCAATCCAAGCAGGACAGAGAAATCATTGATACACCTCTCACTCCTCACCCCAAGGAAACTCCCTACAGCCTCCAAGTTGGAAGTAGCAGGGTCTCACGAAGTCTGGCTGTGTCCCGAGTCCTGCTCCAACCCCCAGCCGCCGACCTTTCTGGCAACTCAGTTCTCCTAGCCTAGAACCGCCCCAGCTAGAATCACCTGAGCATCTGGGGAGATGGTGCCAGATAGGGTACTCACCCCTTTTTCTGTGACTTGGTTCAAAATGTGAATGATCTCTTTGAGGGCTTTGTCGTTGCATCCGTGGGTACGGTTCCCAGTACATGCTAGAAGACAGAGCAGGATGGCAGCTAGCTGGGGGCTGAGACCCATCAATAGAGCTCTACCGTCAGTGATGGAAGACAATTAAGTTTATCAAGAGACGCTAACAATGCAATTCTGACAGAGATCTCTCTATATATAGAGTTAAAATTGCTGAAACCAAGGGAAAATGAGTTTACATTGGAAATTTTTTTGTTACACCAGATTGTCAGTTATTTTGGGCCAATCAGCACCTCTCTTCCAGGAGAAAAAATGCCTCAGAGAAACAGGTAAATTTTCCTGTGAAATCAGACCAATTGGAAAATGAAACCCTTTTAAAAAAATCTACAAAGTTTCAGCATAGGAAATTACACCATAATCGGCCCTGCAGATTAATCTTATCAGTGTGGGGTTGCCCTGCCTTTGCACAGAAGCTTGAAGAGGTCGCAGGTGTCCGAGTGTGCTGGTGCCGTCCAGGGGAAAAGCAGAGTAATATCAAGAGCGTCTGGCGTGTGCAGCATCTGGCGTTGGCTGCTTCCTGCCATGGGGCACCTTGGAAACTCTGGTGTCTTGGGAAAGCTGACTCTGGGTTCTTCACTGATAGAAGGATGGTGGAGGCAGACTCTCTCCCATCCTAGCCCAGCTGTTCCTACAAGTTTGAGGTCTTTGGAGACAGACAGGTGGTGTCAAGTGGGGCCTTGTTTGGGACCAGCAGGACCATGAGGTCTTTACCAATAAGGAGGTTCTGGGAAAGGTTGATGATTACCCCTCCCAAGGTAGAAGCCTGAGGAATGGCTGCTTAAAAAAAATAAATAAGTTTTAGGAGCTATAGAGATGGCTTAATGGTTAAAAGCATTGACTGCTCTTCCAGAGGACCTGGGTTCAATTCCCAGTACCCACATAATAGCTCACAAGCATCTATAATTTTTTTTTTTTTTCAGAGCTAAGGACCAAACCCAGGGCCTTGCGCTTGCTAAGCAAGCGCTCTACCGCTGAGCTAAATCCCCAACCCTATAATTTTAAATTAAAACAAAAAACCAGTGATTGTTAAAAACACAAAAAGTTTAAGAAATAAAAACAAAAATAAAAAAATTTAAACATAGAGATATCCTGTCTCAAAAAACCAAAAAAAAATTTTAAAAAAGTTTTAAAACTTAAACATTTATTTTGTGTGAGTGTGTATCTGTGCATGCTACAACATGAGTGTAGAGGTCAGAGGTCAACCTGCAGGAGTCGGTTCTCTCTTTCCACCATGTGGGGCCTGGGAATTGAACTCATGTTTGCAGGCTTGGCAGCAAGCGCCATTCCCCACTTAGCCATCTCGCTGGCCCAAGAATGGCTGGCTGCTTTTAAGTGAACTTAAACCCACCCCCAACTAATTAGGAAACAGAGCCATGTCTCAGCAATTCCCCAGCTGTCACCCACCCACTGTCTCAATGTCATGTCACCCTGGTGAGGTGCCCATTGCCCCACACCAGCAGTAAATGTGCTGACTCTGCCATGCGCCTGGGAGTGAAGGTCTCTACAGTGACCCCTTCACTCCCAGCCTCTGTAGAAAGGGCTCTTCACATCCACACGCAGCGTCCCTCAGGTTCCTTACACTGGGATTCCTGCCTGTAGTTCAAACGTCTACTAACTTCTAGAAGGTCGTCTAGAAACATTTGTTGCTAAAGTTACTGTTGGATTACTTTCCCATTATTGTTATTTAATTAATAAAAATTGAATATGTTTATAGCACACGAGCCTGCCTCCCTCCCTCCCTCCCTCCCTCCCTTCCTTCTTCCCTTCTTTCTTTCTCTTCTTTTCTTTTTTTAATTTTTAAAATAAAAATGTTTGAAGGGTCTCACGCCAAAGCCCAAGCAAGCTAGCTTGGAAGTCGTGTAGGTAAGGCTGGCCGAAGATACATAGTAATTCTCCTGCTTCTACCTCCCAAGTGTTGGGATCATAGGTATGAGTCACCACACCTGACTTACAAATATAATATTTATATTTATATCTATTTTTATATATTATATATTATAGTATAATATTTATATAATATATTTTGTTTAAATGTGCCTGTTGTAAAGACAGACAAAGCAGCATGTTCCTGTAGTACTACAGACACACTCAACACTTGGGAAACCCTTACCAACCAGGCACTGGTTACAAACAGGCGAATTCTAGGTCTGTCCCCCTTGGCCAAGAGCCAGAATGGGTGAAGAAAGTTCATTTAAATATATATATATATATATGGCAGTGGTGGCACTCGCCTTTAATCCCAGCTCTCAGTAGCAGAGGCAGGTGGATTTTTGAGTTCAAGGCCAGGACAGCCAGGACTACACAGAGAAACCCTTTCTCAACAAAACCAATTAATTCATAAATTAATTACTCAGCATTGGTTTTTTTTTCTTCCCCTTCTCTGAGGGTCCTAAGGCTCACACTCAGCCTTCATGGCAAGCCTTTGCCTGCTGAGCATCTTGATGGCTTCAAAGTTGATCCTTCACTATGCAGATGGAGGAGGAGTATTTTTGGTTTTGCTTTTAGAATTATTTTTAATTTTTATTTTTTATTTAATTAATTAATTTATTTTGGTTTTTCGAGACAGGGTTTCTCTGTGTAGCTTTGGAGCCTATCCTGGAACTCACTCTGTAGCCCAGGCTGGCCTTGAACTCGCAGAGATCCACCTGCCTCTGCCTCACCAGTGCTGGGATTAAAGGCGTGCGCCACCATCGCCCGGCTATTTTTATTTTTTATGTGTCTGAGTATTTTGCTTTCATGTGTGTACCAAATGCATACCTGGTGCTTGTTGGGGCTGGAAGAGGGTGTTGGAACCCCTTGAACTGTATGAGCCTCCTTCTGGGTGCTAGGAACTGAACCAAGAGCCATCCTAAAAGGGATGAGGTTCTTTGTTTTGTTTTGCTTTTTGTTTTTGTTTTTCTAGACAGGGTTTCTCCGTGTAGTCCTAGCTGTCCTGTGTCAGGGTACTTCATAATTAATCACTTTGTACACCAGGCTGGCCTTAAACTCACGGAGATCCGCCTGCCTCTGCCTCCTGAGTGCTGGGATTAAAGGTGTGCGCCACCACCACCAGGCCAAGGGTAGGATTCTTGAGAAGAACATTTGGCAGGTTGCTTCTAGGACAAGCAGATGTTTGGCTTGGGTCGAGGTGGGGCTGGGGTTGAGCTTACAGTGAGCATGGGTGGGGTTGAGCTTTCAGTGAGCATAGGTGAGGTTGAGCTTGCAGTGAGCAGGGGTGAGGTTGAACTTGCAGTGAGCAGGGGTGGGGTTGAGCTTGCAGTGAGCAAAGGTAGGGTTGAGCTTTCAGTGAGCATGGGTGAGGTTGAGCTTGCAGTGTGCAGGGGTGAGGTTGAACTTGAGTAAGCAGGGGTGAGGTTGAGCTTGCAGTGAGCAAAGGTGGGGTGAGCTTGCAGTGAACAAGGGTGAGGTTGAGCTTGCAGTGAGCAGGGGTGAGCAGGGGTGGGGTTGAGCTTGCAGTGAGCAAAGGTGGGGTTGAGCTTGCAGTGAGCAAAGGTGGGGTTGAGCTTGCAGTGAGCAGGGGTGGGGTTGAGCTTGCAGTGAGCAAAGGTGGGGTTGAGCTTGCAGTGAGCAAAGGTGGGGTTGAGCTTACAATGAGCAGGGGTGGGGTTGAGCTTGCAGGTGAGCAGGGGTGAGGCATGGGGAAAATGAGACCCAGCAGGAGCTTATCCTCCTTGGCTGGAGGAACCCTGCTAAGAAGGGACACAGAAGGACCATGAGGGGAGAGCTGGATCCCACAGTGTCCCAGAGGCAAATAACAAGCACTCGGGTTTCCCTCTGAGCACTTAACCTCTGTGGCCGTGTGGGAACGATGGTGAGTCAGAAAGGGATAGAATGTGGAAACTCACCGCTCAGGAGCGAAGTTTGGTTTGTCTTGCTAGTGTCAATGGTTGGATGAGGCCAGAGAAACGTGTGAACTTCCGGGACACCAACAAGTCTTCCCAAAGGGTAGGAGGGGATCGTCCACACCGCCCCGCAGGGACAGGTGGCTGTGAACGGAGCTGATGAAGCAGAGGTCAGAAAAGTTGGTGCTTGCCCTGTCTGGGACGAAGGAGAGAGTGGAAGGCAGTCTGCAGGAGTTGTGGGCAGCAACTGGACAGGGCAGGACGGGGACTGTCACAGACCCCGTCCTGCCCTTCAAGTGAGCCAAGAGCCACTGAGCAGTTATGTGTGCAGTCCAGCAGGCAGCTCCTTGTGACTGTGACCACGGGAGGATCGTTAACTCTGGGTCTCAGTTTCCACAGAGTGAAGAGGAAGCTGTGTGCCTCCTCCCGCTAGGGCTCCTGTGAGCATCCAGAGAGCCGTGGAAAGCGCTTAGTTAGCCCTTGTCAACCCATGACTAAGAAAGAAGACTCGGCCTCAGCAGCTTGTTAGGCCTGGATGGTCTGTATCTTCCCACGGGACCTTGGGCAAACCCTCAGCCACACTCCCTAAACTGAGGAGCGGCAGCTGTACTTGTTTTTTGAGGTTGTCTTGAGTACTAAGTTTAGGTACTTAGATAAGCACTCGAATACAGCGGGTTCTGTGTCAGGGCACTTCATAATTAACCTTATTTTGGTTGGATGAATGACATCGGAGCTTTGTCATCTGGACGTTGTCCACACCCGCCCCTCCCATATGTATCTCTTCTAAGTCTTTGGGCCCTACGCTTGTCTCTGAAGAGCTGGAGTGTCGTCTCCTCAACCCTCGGCTTCATGGACCTGCACAGTGGAGGAGGGGAGGACTCCCTCTTGCCATGGGCACTTTATTCAGTCAGGGGAGGTGGGTGCAGATGGAGTGTGGAGGGGGCAGTTGGAGCGGGCACAGACTGCGCCGTGGACCCTGACGCGGGCCTGGAACTTGGCTGGTGCAATGCTGAGATGCGGCCATGCTGGCCTTCCAACACCTGCCAAGTCACTCCAGGAGAAAACTTGGCATCCTCACAGCCCATGGGACAAAGAGGACAGTGTCACCTTCCTTCCGCCATGCGTAGGTCTCTTGAGAAACCAACTCCATGCAGACTCACTTCAGTGGATGCCCAGACTTGCCGCTAGAACAGTCATGCCACGTTGTCACAGGCACGGCGGAAGAGAAAGGGACAGGACCGAGAAGGACAGCTGTGTCCTCAGATCTGGTGTCCTCACAGCTTGCTCACTTGAGCCGAGGCTTGCCTTCCCTTCTCTCCCT